GCAATTGGAAACGAAAGAAAATGAAGCATAAGACGGAGACGCTGGCGCTGAAAAGTATAAAAGATGTAGGGAACCACATCCTCGTTTCGTCTGATATTCCGGTAATGATAAAGTTGCAGTTAATAAAATGATGATCTCACGTCCATTGCAAGATTTCCGCCCCCGCCGTAATTTGTAAATAGTCTAAGATATTTAATGTGCAAAGGCACACTGCGTGTCAGCCTAAATCTTTCTTTTTCGTTGTCAAATGTCCTGTCACTTCAAACTAGAGTTAATGCCAGTGTTTTTATAGACAAATGTCGTGCATCACATTTCCAACAATAAAACAGAAGATCAATACATGACACACGACCAAGGGGTGGAGCCGTAGACTATAAATATAGAGCAAAAAAACCAACTGTAATATGCTACTACTCATTATGTCGTCACACCATGATGTCCAAATCGGTAGTGATGCGCGTTCATTTAAAGCTACTTTCGCTTATGGCTGCGTCATATTTTTATTATACACGCGTCAGCTCTTATCCTGTGCAGACATCAAGCGCTGATATGGCAGTTGTTCCGTTCGTGAAACGTTTGGTCTGCATCGTGAATAGACGAGGTTAGTTTGTGTATCACGATATGCAACGATTGTGGAATGATAAATTGTCTGCAATGCGGAAATTTTATAAGAGGGACCGATATACTAATGTGGACGACTATCCTTTCAGAAACTGCCCTAGATGTACTATTGTGACTTACCAATCAAGCGAGATAGTCTTGTGTTACGTGGTGCGCTACAGTGTAAATATTGTGTTTAGACATGACCAATCAAAATTGGCTGTCTAGAGTGTGTACTTAGAACCAAAAAAAACTTTCACGTGATAGACGGCTGGATTCATTAGATTCGACTTAGCCATTACCAGATGTATAAAATAATAAGTGCATCGTTTAAAATGTATGTGTTGGATATCATTAAAAATCAGTTGTCTGAAAATTGACCTTTGGTGGCCTGCTCGCCACAGGATGTTTCTTTTGACAGCCTCCGTTTCAGCTACGATGCACGGTTTAATATAAATTGTATAACGAAGTGTTGGGTAAATTCGCCTACACACTGAGTACGAAAATACATGAAATGGCACCATATGCCACTTAAATAACGATTAAAAAATCTTTCGCGAGATCGCTAGGATTAAAATTTCGTACTCCCGACTACGATCACTCACCTCCACGTCGTATTTTACTATGCAAATTTGCTGCTATACATACTGCTGCGGCAAAACAAATTGTGTTAGTATCTTGATAATTTCAATTGTAGGTGAATAATAACGTAAGAACACGCCACTCAAAACATGTCCAGGCTAGATAGTCCGCCCCTTTATTCGCGCTCGCTATCGCGCGAATGCATTTAATTTTGGCGACCTATTTTTTGTGTGGCTATGCTTGCGTCAAAAAGCGACATCTAAGTATAAAACACTAAAATCAGAAAGAGAGATCAATATCGTCATTATGATTTTTTAGCGGGACATTTAAAAAATTGTCAGAATAAAAATAAGTAAATGGGATCTTCTGCTAACGAAGTTATCAGTACTTTTGAATTAAATTTTAACTACATATTGAGCTACTCATGAAAGCCTTTAGAAAAATCATTTCCGTTTGAAAAATGAATCCAGCCGTTTAGCATCTGCCTAAAAGAACTATTTCAATTGGACTGTAATAGGAGTGAATCGAGCGACTCCCTATTTGATCGATTAAGTCGCAAAACCGGAACAAACTAAATGCAAACATTGCAACATCAGCATCAGTCGCAAAACCAGCACCACTGTTGAAAGGAAGACATGCGCTTTAAGATATTACAAGGTCCACATCTTTATCCTTCCATTCCCTGAGACGGTCCGCCCCCTCTCTCCTCTCAAGGGCTCCCAATTGCTTTGGGGATCGTCTAAATCTCGACCCCTAACTTTGTGGAGAGGTGTCTCGGGCAGGCCTCTCCCGCAGTCGCGCGATGTGTAAAAGGCATCCTTGAAAGGCAAAATCTAACGACGCTTAGCCGCCATTCTATTTTCTAAGGTGGCCTTTAATTCTAAAAATTTACATATGACTGTGCAACATTCGCAAATTATCAGGCTTTACAATTGTGCGCTTCCCAATTTTAACGTATCAATCCGAAATTACCACAATTTTGAGACCTTATGGATGTGTTTAGCTACCGTAACACTTCTTACTTGTATGATGATGCGTGTGTGAACAAGATAGCTGTGTGTATCGTGTATTTGCTCACCTCGACTACTATTCGTTCGTTTCATATTTGCAGGAGCTACGGCTAGGCACGTGCCACACTACACTGTGACGCTTCGATGGTCGCGCTCTTCAAGCCATAGAGGAGATAAATAGACCATACACCATGACACGTGTCGTTGCTGCGACGAACATGCTCTCAACAGCTTTAATAGTCTCGCGTTTCCACAGTACAAATCTATTTACACGATGGCAGTGCTTTTTTACTGCTGCCAAGTATGATTATTTCGATGTCGTGGCCACCTTACTTAGCATTGTACAATGACTGGACCTAACCTAGTACCGGGGTTGTCATCCTGTCTTAGACAGCAACAGTCATTTATCATCGTTAGAATGTTAATGGACAAGATTTTCTCACTATTCAAGATTTAATTATCATTTATTAATGCGATTTCGCGATAAGCTATGACCTACATGTTTGGTATTATTATGTGAGAATGGATCCTCGCTTGCGAATTTCGTGTGAAACGACGTCGGGAACGGTGGTTGCAGTCGTGACAAATGGCAACATTAACAATGAATCAGATACATCACCTAGGTAATAAAATATCGTCGTACTAACCTTATCGTAAACACATGGAGCACTACAGCACTCGTTCAGTTACGTTATTAATTTCGCCTACGTCGTTCGTTTCTCTTTCTCTGGAGATTCCACTGCAATACAGCAAAGTCTCCATGATTTAAATTTTCTACGTTAATCATCTTCGTTACACAATGCAAATATCGAGTCCCATGTTGGGCCCAGGCCAATTTAAAATAAAAACTCCCGTATATTTTGTTTTTGAGGCCAGAGAAATTTTACATCATCAAAGTGTCAAACTACTTCCGGGGGGCCACTACATAAAAATATCCTGAGTTAGTTGCTTGAGGGATTTTTGCTGAAGATTACCCGCCTGATCTTGCATCTTCTGAATTATCTCTGAGAACTCTTCTCGAGTCTCCTGCTGCAACCAGAATTTCTTGAGCTCTGCAAGCATCGATGCAGCATTCCGAAGAGGGGCGGACGGTGCGGCCACGCTATCGTCCTCCTTGATAACACGCGTAGCACACTTCACTTCAACCCTACCCCCCCCTTACTCTGCTTTTTAATAATTCCCTTATTTGATTGAAATGTGGCTATTCCTGCCATACTAAAATAAGGAAGGCTCTACTGTAGTAGTAAATATACAAAGCGACATTCTAAGAAATGACGAGGTTTGAATGTTTGGCCAGAACGTGGTTCAATTGAGCTTTAAATCTTTTGTCACAATAAATATCCTGATACACTTTACTCGTCTTAAAGGGACAGAGTAAATTACAATTCCATTCAACGCGACATTTTGTTGTGTTGCGCGCTCTCTTCGACCGACTAATACGTGGCCGCCACATACAGTGGCGCTCCTGATACCTGGTTTCAATATGCAGTGGTGAGGTGGGAGAATATTGGGCAGATAATGATTTAGTCTCTTTCGGTGCCAGCTCAACCTCCAATATGTTCCTATTACGCTTAAACCGCTAGTGGTAGATTCTCAAAGGTATACACCCTCGGCACATATAGCAGCTCATGAACGAGTTTTGATCGATCAATGGGTACTGCTTTCCATGCGTCGTCTCACGCCAGCTCTTAGTCGATGGCAACGTCTCTCCATTAGTCACAAATCGTAAAAGTGACGGTACCAAGCAATCGTTTAAATCGATTCATGCACTTTGTTAAAGACTTGAAATTTAAACTTGTCTTTTAGCCTATCCCATTTTAATTCGCATAGCGTCAATGTCTATACTTATATATTATCCTCACTATTCTTTGAGGCGAATAATACATAAAACTTATATTTGCATATGATACTAGGTTGTAGCGGAGCTACCCTTCCGCTCTTGTAAGGAAAAATTAAAGAGTTCGTAGATTCTCTATATGCATTAAACTACCGGGTTTTATCATAAATAGTACCCAGACTTTACAGACCTAGTGAGACATGGCTATAAGTAACTTAACAATTTCGCAATTTTATAGTCCTGGTTTATACGAATAATGATACTAGAAATCACGTGGCACTGATGCTTAGAGTACTTATAACGGGGTAGCCCGTTTCATGAAATTGACACCAAACGATGTCAATTGGAATATTGTCTAGCATGACAATATTCAAACGCTGCTCCAAGATTGGTTGATATAAGACATATCAACCATAGATTACCACCAATCGCTGCTAGACGCGCGCAATGAGTGGTGAGCAGGCTGTCGTCATACGACGGCGTAGTTTAATATAGTTCGATAAAGATTGAAGTTAAATTGATAGCTTCACTATTTAAATACAGTTCTCTTTTTACCTTTACTTGACCGAGTCGTTCGAGTAGATTAGCTTCCTCTGCACGTACTAGTGTACGTGAAGTTTCGCGGCACCCCAAAACAAAGGGTGCCCCGTTACACCTGGCAGCACTCCGTAGTCCGTCCAACTACTACTTGGTGTCCGTCCAACATGAACATGTTGGACGTAGAAGACAACAGCTTTCATGTCACGCGTTAATGCTACTCCCATCTGAGTGACTCAGAGTGGGAGGTAGTCGGCCGCGTGAGTGTGTTCATGGGCGAACCCGCCATCAGTGGTATGTTATGAGTCTCTAAGCAGAGACCAGCAACATGCTGCTATCAACAAGTTCCTATAAGGGAACTTGCCGTCGGACGACAGAAGATAGACTTGCTACAGCAGCAAGGCTCTCATCAGTCGATGGTCGGACCGACGCACATGCGTCGACCCGAAACCTTGAGGATTGATATCTCAAGGAACAAGAAAACCGATGAAGATTACCTTTTGAGATGGTTCGTCGAGTTAGATGATGCCATCAGGGCCCGTCACATCGATGGTGACGAGATGCAAGTCACCTTCTTCCTGTCAAATTTGACGGGACGAGCAAAGACTTGGGTCTTACGGCTCAAGCTTCACGACCCAAACGTGTTTGAGTCATTGGAGATCTTGAATTCTCGGCTCAAAGAGACGTTTGAGCCGCCGAGAGCCAAGTTCAGAGCACGCTCTGCACTCTTGAGACTCAAGCAAGGTAAGCGTGATGTGCACGATAATGCACAACACCTACGCTACCTTGCAAGTAGCGTCTCGGAATGCGTTGTTGATGAGCACACGCTCATCAACGTGTTCATCTACGGCCTTGTTGATGGACCGGTGAAGACCTACATGCTACGAGAGGACTTCCATACGCTGGAAAAGGCGATAGCGTATGCGGAACAAGGAGACTTCAGCCTGAGACAGTCTCACGCTAACTCGTCCAATTATCGTCCGCCGAGGCGACAGGAAACAGGAGGTCCCGAACCAATGGACCTCTGTTACATCGAGAGCGAGAACTCTCGCACCCTGAGTCACAAGCGAACGTTAAGATGCCATCGCTGTCAGAAGATCGTACACACACTCATGAGCGTAGTGTTTTAAGCACCGCAACACGTCCAAAGATAGGACGTGATGACCACCTCTGGCCAAGGAAAAGCCCGAGGCGTGGGTCCGACCATGTCGCCAAGCCGCGACAGCAAGTCGGACCTTCAAAAACAGACAGGGCCAGTATGGGCGGAGCACCCTGCTATTCCAGAAACTTCAAGAGAATTTGCAGGATCTTGACGAAGATTGCTCCCAACACAAAGTCGCTGTGTGTTAAGGCCCTAGTGATGAGGAGTCTCTCATCACTTTAAAGATCAAAGTGATAGGTGGAATGTCACCTCGCGCCCTAGTTGACTGAGGTGCGTCGAACAGTTTTATTCGGCGCCAGTCGCTAGAGGATGGTAGGCTCAACTGTGTTAAGCGAGAGTTCCCTCCAACGAGGATGATGGTGTGCCTTGCTACAGGCGCATCCGTAACAGTGAACAAACGTGCAGTGGGAATCCACTACACGCTATAAGGAATACAGTACGATGACTTCTTTATCGTACTAGATTTGGATGACGAATTTAATGTCATCCTCGGTCTGTCATAGCTTAGAAAGTACCCAACATGAGTTAGCTGGCAGCAACGATTCATGAAGATGTATGCCGTTTGTTCAGCTGATGACCATCTCATAAACGTCTTGGAGCGTTTAAAAGCGTGTGGGTACAATACGAGTGAGTTCGATGACCTAACTTGTGGTGAGGTCGTTAGTATGATTGCACAAGATCACAGTGAAGAAGGCCACTGCACTGTGGAACCAGCTTCCGGCACCTGTGTAGAGACACAGGCTGCGCCGAAGGTTCACCACTCGAAGAGATCGAGTGGACTAGAACACGGATGCACACCAAGAAGGTCGCATCTAAGAAGAGAGATTAGTGTTGTTCAGGATGGACAACGCGTTGAAGCGAGATCGACTATCAGAAAATCGATCGTAGAGCAAGCCCGATCGACTGAAAGAGAGTCGATCGGAGAGGACGTGACCGTAATATTACACGTATTGAAAGAAAATGCCGGCGTTGCTGAGATCAATAACTCCCGAGAGAGTTATGTTAAGGGTGTGGATCCCCAACCACCTGCGTACGTGATTTCCCAGGAAAAGACCGAGTCAGTGAATGCTTTGGTGAATGACGGTTCAAGTGTAGGCGCTTATACACTTGATCTGGTGACGTCCCCGAAGTCAGCTTCGGAGGTAGTCAAGTTGCTAACGCTAGAATCTAATCGATCCTTGCGAGATCTGCGTGGTGACAAGATCAAGCAGATCTGCGTGCTCGTCACAGAGGACGAGTACGTCGCCGATATTCGGTCGGCACAATTGTTTGCTGAGAACAAACGGTTTCTCAGTATTTCATCTACGGACGAGAGTGTCCTCGATGAGAAGACCCGGATTGAGTAAGGGGGGGGCCCCCCGCCCCCCCCCCCCCCCCCCGCCCCGCCCCCCCCCCCCCCCCCCGCCCCCCCCCCCCCCCCCCCGCCCCCCCGCCCCCCCCCCCCCCCCCCGCCCCCCCCCCCCCCCCCCCCCCCCCCCCCCCCCCCCCCCCCCCCCCCCCCCCCCCCCCCCCCCCCCCCCCCCCCCCCCCCCCCCCCCCCCCCCCCCCCCCCCCCCCCCCCCCCCCCCCCCCCCCCCCCCCCCCCCCCCCCCCCCCCCCCCCCCCCCCCCCCCCCCCCCCCCCCCCCCCCCCCCCCCCCCCCCCCCCCCCCCCCCCCCCCCCCCCCCCCCCCCCCCCCCCCCCCCCCCCCCCCCCCCCCCCCCCCCCCCCCCCCCCCCCCCCCCCCCCCCCCCCCCCCCCCCCCCCCCCCCCCCCCCCCCCCCCCCCCCCCCCCCCCCCCCCCCCCCCCCCCCCCCCCCCCCCCCCCCCCCCCCCCCCCCCCCCCCCCCCCCCCCCCCCCCCCCCCCCCCCCCCCCCCCCCCCCCCCCCCCCCCCCCCCCCCCCCCCCCCCCCCCCCCCCCCCCCCCCCCCCCCCCCCCCCCCCCCCCCCCCCCCCCCCCCCCCCCCCCCCCCCCCCCCCCCCCCCCCCCCCCCCCCCCCCCCCCCCCCCCCCCCCCCCCCCCCCCCCCCCCCCCCCCCCCCCCCCCCCCCCCCCCCCCCCCCCCCCCCCCCCCCCCCCCCCCCCCCCCCCCCCCCCCCCCCCCCCCCCCCCCCCCCCCCCCCCCCCCCCCCCCCCCCCCCCCCCCCCCCCCCCCCCCCCCCCCCCCCCCCCCCCCCCCCCCCCCCCCCCCCCCCCCCCCCCCCCCCCCCCCCCCCCCCCCCCCCCCCCCCCCCCCCCCCCCCCCCCCCCCCCCCCCCCCCCCCCCCCCCCCCCCCCCCCCCCCCCCCCCCCCCCCCCCCCCCCCCCCCCCCCCCCCCCCCCCCCCCCCCCCCCCCCCCCCCCCCCCCCCCCCCCCCCCCCCCCCCCCCCCCCCCCCCCCCCCCCCCCCCCCCCCCCCCCCCCCCCCCCCCCCCCCCCCCCCCCCCCCCCCCCCCCCCCCCCCCCCCCCCCCCCCCCCCCCCCCCCCCCCCCCCCCCCCCCCCCCCCCCCCCCCCCCCCCCCCCCCCCCCCCCCCCCCCCCCCCCCCCCCCCCCCCCCCCCCCCCCCCCCCCCCCCCCCCCCCCCCCCCCCCCCCCCCCCCCCCCCCCCCCCCCCCCCCCCCCCCCCCCCCCCCCCCCCCCCCCCCCCCCCCCCCCCCCCCCCCCCCCCCCCCCCCCCCCCCCCCCCCCCCCCCCCCCCCCCCCCCCATACACGTCTCAATATTGGGAGTCTTTAAAGTAAAATCCTTTGTATAAGGATTTGGTGAAATTCAGGGAGGCTTTCCCTGAATCCGTGCAATGCGAGCTGCCTAAGGACAAAGGCACTCGGCATGAGATCGAACTGAAACCTGGTTCTAATACTGTATCATGAAGCAGTGGCCACTGCCTCGTGAACAGGTCACAGCGATCGACAAATTCTTTGCCGATCGCTTAGCGGCTGGTCATGTGGAGGAAATTAACATCCCCACACAGTTCTCCGAACGTCTGTGTGCATAAGGCTACAGGAGGGTGGCGGATAGTGCACGCGTACAACGAATTGAACGCTGCAACGGTACCGGCTTAAATGCCGATCTTAAGGAAGGACTTCATCATAGATGGTATGTCAAAGAGTACGATCTTTTCGTCTATAGATTTGATGGATGGATTCTTTCAGCTCCACATGCACGAACGGGATATCCTGTACACAGCAGTGATAATCCCCAACGGTATGCTCTATGAGTGGCTAGTGATGCCACAGGGGCTAAGTAACTCCCTCGCAACGTTAAACATATGTGCTACAAATCTGTTGCGATCGGTGCGCGATTTCGCACCGAGTTACTTCGACGGTGTCTTCGTCCATAGCCGGGCTATGGATGGAAAGACGGCCGTGGAGGTTCATAGAATCCACGTCCGGAAGGTTCTTACTCTAATGCGAGAGCATAAGTTGTTCGCGAACCTCAAGAAGTGTATATTCGTAGCGAATGACATACCACTTCTTGGATGCATTATGAATCAAAACGGTGTACGCCCTGATCCGGAAAAAAACAAGGCGATAAGCGACTTGCCTGTGCCAGTCGACGTCAAAGGACTTCAAAAGTTCCTTGGCTTGACGGCGTACTTGCACAAATACTCGCGCAACTATGCCGAGATGACTGTACACCTCTCTCGTCTACTAAAGAAAAACGAGAGGTGGTCATGGAGTGCTGAGTGTCAGCACTTCTTCGAATGAATCACGAAAAGCTTGATACAATCGCCTGTGTTGTAAATTGCAGATCAGGACAGATCACTCCATGTGGTCTGTGACGTCAGCGATTTTGCGATCGGCTGCGCGTTAATGCAGTACGACTCAGACGGCATTAAAGGTGTCGTCTGTTATCAATCGCGTCAGCTGCAAGCAGCTAAGCAAAATTATCCGGTGCATGACAAGGAACGCCTTGCCATGAAATATGCACTGGCTAAGTTTCGGGTAAATATCCTAGAAGACAGGCCCTTCATCTTTTATACCGACCATGCGTCATTACGCACGGCCGTAAACAGTCCACACCTCTCGCAACGAACGGCGAGGTGGCTGTCTTTCTTCGCGGAGTACAACTTCTCCGTCAATTGTAAACCAGGAAGGCTTTATGTCGTCGCTGTTGCTCTTTCGCGTCGGCCCGATTTCGAGCCGACTGCTCAACACAACAGTAGGGATGATCCCACTGTCGCGACACTAACAGTGAGTATTCCGTCGTCGAATATGCTCGATGAAGTGCGAAAAGCCAACACAGAAGATGAGTCTCTTCTGCTATATAGAATTTAAGTCTTTAATCCATGCAGTCAAGCTTTGAAAAAGCTTCTCGACTCAATACCGCTCTCCAACCGAACGGTATTCTGTTCGTGATGGACTGCTGTACTCTACAGCAGGTAACGGAGACACACCTCGTGTCGTCGTTCCGGCTCATGATGATTTTCCATTGCGCATCGTGTATGAGTGTCACGATGCCCCAACAAGTGGGCATCGCGGTAGAGAAAAGACTTACCTCACGGTAAGTCGTGACTTCTACTGGCCACGCCAGTATGAGTTTGTGCGCAAGTACATTCGCGCTTGTGAAGTTTGTCAACAGGTGAAGCCTAGTTCTTCATCCCGCGCACCCTTGCAGCCTCTTTCGATGCCAACAGAGTGTTGGCAGTCCTTATCGGTGGACTTCGTCTTTGGGTTTCCCGAACACGCTCACAAGAATACTGGTATTCTAGTGTTTTTTGATCGGTTCAGCAAGATGGTACATCTTGTTGCTGTACCGGATTCAATCACAGCCCAGGGCTGTGCGCGTGTCTTCATTTAAACTATCTTCCGACCTCACGGGTTACCCCGTGAACTCGTGTCCGATAGGGTGGAGTTCTGACAATTCGTGTTCCGTTCACTTGGAACACGTTTAACGATGTCAACTTCTGACCATCCCGACACGATGGTCGAACGAAACGCGTCAACCGCGTCCTCGAAGAGATACTTCGAGGGTATGTCCACTCGTTTACGAGTTGGAGTGGGTTCTTGCCAATGGCGAAATTCGCCATCAACAACTCGGTGCATGCGTCGACAACGCATACACCGTTCTTCGTGAGTGGCCTACGCCATCCACGTTTACCCGCCTTCTTAGAGTGTGACTCTTGTTTAAGGGGCGGGGGTGAACTCGCTCGAAAAAAATTCCTATTTGGTTCTTGCTCATCGCACGTCGGCAATGGTGTCGACGTAATGGATGCCGATCGTTCACTTGGAACACGTTTAACGATGTCAACTTCTGACCATCCCGACACGATGGTCGAACGAAACGCGTCAACCGCGTCCTCGAAGAGATACTTCGAGGGTATGTCCACTCGTTTACGAGTTGGAGTGGGTTCTTGCCAATGGCGAAATTCGCCATCAACAACTCGGTGCATGCGTCGACAACGCATACACCGTTCTTCGTGAGTGGCCTACGCCATCCACTTTTACCCGCCTTCTTAGAGTGTGACTCTTGTTTAAGGGGCGGGGGTGAACTCGCTCGAAAAAAATTCCGATTTGGTTCTTGCTCATCGCACGTCGGCAATGGTGTCGACGTAATGGATGCCGATGTCAACTACATCAACATTGATGACGATGATGACGATAATGCTGGTATATTCAGTATCGCTAACGACTGCCACAGTGAAAACGATGACGCCATCACTGGTGAAGACAACGTTCTTTCAGCAGTGCACACGAAGCGCACTGCTGTGGACAAGGATGAATCAGCATAGGAATTTCTGCTGTTTCGCGAAGCGGTTGTTCGCTTCGCTCAAAACTCTATTGTGTAGGTGCACTAGACAGACAGAAAAAAAACGCAGACAAACATGGAAGAGCAAATGTTGTTTCATTTGATGATTGACTTAGTTTAACTGTCTACAGTAAACTTACCGAAACACGCAGTGACAAACGTTGGCAGCGGTAAATTACTGCTCAAGCACATCGGTCCATTTCTTGTGTTGCTCCGCATGGGCAACACATACACGATTGAACTGCCTCTTAGGATGCGAACGCATCCTACGTTTTACGCCTAACGTCTACGCCTGTACTAACGGTACGAGCCCGTTTCGAAAGGCGAAGAACACCTTCACGGTCAAGAGCCGAGACCACCTTCAAGTGGTCCCGTTTCAACGATCCAGTCTAATCGACTAGCGAAGCGACCTGCCCATGCAGTTGAGCGATATCCTGACGAGCTCGAGTTAGCTCATCACGAAGAGAACGAGTCGAACGTTCGTTCTCAAGTTGCGCGAACGCAAAAGCGGCACGATCGTTCGAACGATCGTGCGTTAGGAAATTGTAGATGTTCCTTACAAGATCCTCAAGCTCAAACGCCGAGTCCGTTCGTGAGCCAGGTCATCTTGCAACGGTTCCGTTACACTGTTCAGCTCTTGAACATCAAGCTGATACGACCCTCGATCCGGATCAGGTGTTCCCGCTGCCACCACATCCTTTGGTGGACATAAGCGGTGGTCAACGCTACCTTGCGGAGCGCATTTTGAACCAACGCGATGTGAATGGCGTCCGGACGAGTTACCTCGTCCGCTGGCGTGTCTATCTATCGGCGTGGGACAGCTGGTAACCTCATTCCCAGCTGATTGTTGATGTCCTTGGTCTCGTAGAGCAGTTCGACGAGACCCATCCGCTGCTTTCGAAGAAGGGCCTTCGGAAAATGACCTCCCCGAACACGATTACAGGGATTGCAAAGTGTCGATCCATTCGGCAACCTCGGAAGAGATGCGCGCCCTCCAGTGGGAAATAGGGAGGGAGGGGTAGGCCTCCCTAGCGGCACGGTTTGAGTTGTCCAGGCAACCTGGACACTAATCACCCCACGAGAGACAGGGTAATCCTGCCTCTCTTGAAGCCGGTGCAACTTGTATCGCGCCCCGACGGGGTTGCGTTTTTATTAAACCTGATGCAAGCTGCATCAAGTTTGGCGAGCCAAGCCTCACGGCCAATACACTCGATGTTGTGGATGAGGGCATTCCATCCCTGCACCAAGGTTTTGCCGTCTCGAACACGGCTACCACTGTACCACCGATGTTTAACGAACGCATCGGTGAAGAACATTTTCTCAGCAGGGATAGTTTCCGTGCTGGAATCAGGTGGGCAAATATTCCTGCAATCGAACAACGGGATTCAATCCCGTTCAGTAGTCATGCCTGCCAACCGGTCCAACTCCTTGGATGACGGCATCCAAGGAGACTCCACTTGGGTATCATGGCGCAGGACATTTCGGTCCCTGGCCCCTTAATTGGTGTCAGCGCTTACGCTGACACCAGTGACATCCCGATCCATCGAGTTACTTCGCTCGTGGTGATGTAGAGGTACATCACCACCATCCTCACGCGTCCTATCGTTGGATGGACTTGCGCGAGGCGAGGATTCGCCGAAACAATCGCTCGATTCGAAGATCTCGAGCATGATACCACAATATTGACCAGAGCCAGTCAATCTGGCTCTTGCAGTGTTCACCCGGGTGACCTAGAGGCATGAGATGTCGCCTTCTAGTCGGATACATCATCCGACTCGCCAGAATAGATGAGCTCTATTTCAGACTCATCTGGATTACGATTCGCGGTACCCGCTGCAGACGCAACGGAGGTACCTGTCGCACGTGGTGACTCACCACGTGGACTGTTCACAGCAGCAGACGATATATCACCTGCTGCTGAGGTGTGAGAAGTACTCTTTCCGGCTGCACGCATGCGTGCAGCCGCCTTTCTTTATGCTGCAGTAGTGGCTCGCGTGATTTTTGAATCCATGCGTTGGATTGGCAAATTATTGGGATATGACCAACAAGTGGTCTTTTTCCCAGAGTGATCCAACGGTGGTCACCCTGTCTCAATCAATTCTAATTCAATCATCGGGTGATTGACGGTTAAGGGGGGGGTGATGTAACGGGGTAGCCCGTTAAATTAAATTGACACCAAACGGTGTCAATTGGAATATTGTCCAGTGTGACAATATTCTACCGATATTATCCGAGATGGATAATCTTGAAGGAACATTATCCCCTTTAGGATAGTATTCATTCGCTGCTCCAAGATTGGTCGATTTAAGACATATCAACCAGAGATTGCCACCAATCGCTGCTAGACGCGCGCAATGAGTAGTGAGCAGGTTGTCTTCATACGACGACGTAGTTTAACATAGTTAGATAAAGATTAAAGTTATGATCTCCTAATGGTACGTCACACCAGCTAACCAGGTGCGCTGGTGTGACATACCATTAGAAGAGATCATTTCTAGCGTCGTTGTTGCTGGTTTCATTGTTGCTGCTACCGCTGTGTCGGTTTTTGCTACCAATGTAAGTAATTTATGTGTTCCTGGAGCTTTTTATACCGCTGCTGCTAATGTCAGTGTTGGTGATGCTGATGTCATCGTTATTGGTACTGCTGTTAGTGTCCGCGGTGTTACTACTGTTTTGCAGTGCTGTTGATACTACAGTGCAGCTGTTTTCGTTGTTTAGTTGAGTAGTGGAGCTACACAGCTCTTAGTTAGCGGAAGACTTACGACTCTAGAAGTCACTTAGTTCTACGGAACTAAGTTCTTATTTATTTAAAGAGTCTATAGCTCTCAAAATAATCAACAAAGACTCGGAGAGTCCTCAAGTTCGTAGAGCTTCAAGTACTGGTCCAAGGGACTAATAAATACTCTAAGAATCGTACGCGCAACGTGCTCTCGAGTATATGCCTCAAGCTGACTCTTACTCGTTACGACCCGCTGACGTCCAAAATCGACATGTGTCAATTTAAGATCAAAAGGGGAACTCAACTTTTATTTCTTAGCTTTATCTGTAATAAACCTCATTCAAGTACCTAATTCTAAGGCTAAACTATTTCGCACAGTGATCTTCAGTATATTAAAGATTGATAGATGATGGTACATCAATCTGTCATCAATGTATGACTGAGGTTAGCAACCACATCAATCATCACAGATAAACTTGGTATTGTATATCATCTATAAAAGGCATATCCCTGTTGGGCGGTAACTGTCGTGTGACCCTGTTACAAGTTGAGTGATTGAAATGCGTTCCTGCTCGTGCGCTATCGTTACTTGAGCTTTTTTAATCATCTAATAGACGATCGCGAATCCATCCTACCTGTTTGACTCTTATTTGTCGATTCGAAAAGGATTTACCGGTGCTGATGGTAACATTTTAGTGCTGTTACAGGATTAGTAGGTGCTGTTAATGGCTTCTTAAACTCCAAGGACATTATGATGGATGTGAACAGCTCAAGAGGTAATGACAACACACACAAGACATTTGATTCGGTCGAAGTGTCAACACACTCGAACATACGTATCATAGTATCAAGAAATGAACGCACTCTGTATTAAACGTACAGCACGGACTTCAACAAGATTTTGCCGACTGTATCCGCCAGCACTTGGCATGAGACCCTCTAAAGGTAATATCTGGTGCTACATCACCTGTTGCGTCGTTCGGTGTGCTACAAACTACTTTTTGTACACTTATAACGTAAGATGGTAGTAATTAGTGGCGCTTCTGAATGTTGAGGTCCTTCACACCCACTAGATTCGACCTAAGTTTTCTCTACGGCACCTATTTCACTCCATTTTGCACGCTGCAAATATGTAGTGACACAATGTAGCACTGATTCGCGAGCGTAGCATAATACAGTGTCTCGGTGAATATCCGCGTGACCATAATTAGGGGCTCATCGGTTTAGAAAGTAAGATGCATCAGCATATTTCGTGTAAATGGTAATTATGACAGGTTAAGTCCTTCATCGAAGCACAATGTTAGTACCGTAGAACTTGTCTAAATTAAAACTGTATAATGTAATAACCTGTCTAAGGTAATATTCTTTTCTGGTCCCGACTTGAGACCCAAATTAAATGTAATAAATCTCCCTAAATTAATACTCGATAGCCAAAGGCTGGTCCCAAAAAAATTGTAAACTAATATTCGCTTTATTGAGGACTTTGATATTGAGGGCAAACAGTTAATGGGCTTAAGGAAAGAATATTAAGATGAACTTCTGCACCAGTTAGGTAGTCCTGATCTCTCAATTTTGTCCTTTACTTGCTGGAGGCTTATAAGGAAGTCCTGGTTCAGGTCTGGCTGCTGCAACCAAAAGTTTTCAAACGTCTGCGTGGCATCGAGTGCCAGAGATGACATGACACGAGGAAGCTCTTCCGTGTCATCTTTCTGTTCCTCCACTTGATCAGGATGAAGGTGCTCAGCAATGATCCCATCTTCATCTGGTGTTTAGGCGACCTCTTCCTCAGCAGGGTAATTAAGAAGGAAGCTGATTTCCATTGGGCTCTGGTAACCGCAACTGACACATTTGCAATTGACGATCTTTGATGGCCTCATTGTCGAACAGCTGCTGTGCAGTAACTTCAGGTATTCCCAAAGCAACCGAGCGAATCTTGCAATGAAGGAAGCAATTCGAAATTGTTTTGGCCTTGACATCTGGGTTCCAAACTGCAAATGCCATCCGAATGGCCTAAAGAACAACTAAAGAACATCAACCCTCTCCTGATCTTCCACATTTTGCTCGAGGCACTGACGGAGAAAGCGATTGAAGCGTATGCGATGATTGGCTTCAAATTCCTGATTATGTTTGCGTCGCACGGCTAGAGCTTAGAAGTCTTATGTGGTGGAAGGTAAAAAGCCGTGGTGTTGCACAACTACATTTCTGTAGGAAGTTTGGCAAGCGGTATGTGCGCACTGCAGTTATCCTTGATTAAAGGAACTTGGCTTCCGGCCATGCGAGCATTAAATGGTTTCATCCACTCGGTGAAGATGGCTTGTGTCATCCATGCTTAACTGTTGTTTCGGTATTGCAGCCGATGGTGTCAAGGTTGGTGTTTTTATACAAAGCGAACTTTTCGACTTTCCTATGACGAGGAGCGGCAGCTTGTCACTTTCAATGCCATTGCAGCACACTGTCAAGGTGATACACTCTTTGTTTTGTTTGCGGCCTTCCAGCTGCTTGGTTGCCAGCGAACCATCTGCCTGTGCATAAGTTTACGTAAGCACAAAGTGTCGCAATATGTCGCAAACAAGACCACTTGCCAAAATAAACCTGCAGCCGGTAGAACAGCCCGGCTTCATCCATGTTGTAGATATCTTTCCACTCGCACTTGTCCAGCGTCTCTTGGATGCCAGGGAGTGATTCCTCGATGAGTGTCATGTCAACAGAACCACTCTTTCCAAACGGCGAAAGGACTTGATTTCATGCCGGTCTTTATATAATTCCAGCCAGCCATTCGAGAACTCGAACACATCATGCTCAGGGTAGAGGTGGTCTAGAAAAAGGGCTGCTTTCTCTTTGATAAGGTCCCCGCTCACGTTGACGCGGTCCTGATGGCTAAGGAAACATCAACGAGAGCAGATTTCATCTGAGGATCCTTACTTAACAGTCCTATGACCTTTTGCGTCAATATTGCTGTTGTCGGCCTTCGCTAAGATTTTCGCTATTTTCTTGAGAAGGCCTGAGATTGTAGGCTGACTGACTTTCACCTCGTGCCTATGTTCTAGACCTTGGATCTGCTCCTTCTGGCTGAGCTGATGATTTTTATCATAGTGCTCACACAAAGCAATGTGGACTTTGTCCGTCATAGTCGTTTACTGTGCGCCTTTCGGAGGCGTATTGGGATGGAGAAAAGTTAATGGATGGCGGGGGACTCCCTATTTTAAGGGGATGGCGGGGGACTCTTTTTATATATGTGAGGGGGGTTGACTGGGAGTGGCGGCTGCAGCAAGAAATAAAATGTAAACATAGCCGATTGCACTATTTTTCCCACCTGAAAAAAATCCTTTTATTATCTTTCCCTGCCTAAAATATTAACCTCCGTAAAATCATAACATGACCTCGGTCCCAACGATACTACTTTGGACAGGTTCTACGGTAATGTACACCGCGTTAACTCAAGTAAAAAAGGACGTGGGGCATTGTTTGATTGACCAATTATTAGAGCTTTTGTATTTTTAATCATCTAGGGCATTTTTATTTTCAATCATCTAGGGCCTTTTTTAATTCTTTTCGTGACGAAATGGGGCCTTTTTTATTCTCGTGACGAAATGAGGCATTTTTTCATTTTCCAAAAAAAGGTTTCATTTTCGTCCGGGACGAGATTACACAATTTTAGATGTACAGTGGAACTGTCCAACTGAAAGTGTCCACTAAGGCCAGTTTACGTTGTAGCTCCCCAAACCGAATGGACAAGGAGAACAAGTCCCATGGCGCTTCTCCTGCGCAGAATAGACGATATCGCCTGCCATTGATCATGAAGCTGTTGCTTGGTGCAATAGGTGCAGAAGCCTTGCTGCTGTTGTTGGACCTGAGTATGCTGAACAAGAGCAGCATCTTGCCGATGGAGTATCTGAACGCCGAGATGGACGAGGGAGCCGACTTTTATCCGGGTAAAATCCTCGAGACCGAATGGGAAAACGACTTTGCAGCGGCTGATTTGGTGCACCTTGGTTTGATGCAAGAAGCGTGCCTGAAATACAACGATAATGTCGTGACGTGGAAATACGGACGAGACAGCGTGGTCTCAACCGCGAGTCATGACATTTTCTACAAAGACGACGCTCAGTTGCTGGAAAAAATGCGTCAGTGCCCAGATGTGGACATTTATGTGCCCGGGAGATTCCGAAGCCACGGCTACTGCGAAGACTCGGCTGCCTATATGAAATGTAAGCTGCTGCTGAGCTAATCTGGTGCAGGTTGGTAGAAAATTGCTTGAGGTCACCTACTGATGTTTTGTTTTCTGATGTAGTTTTAGAGTCGCGAATACTTCCGACGTGGGCACTTACAATGAAGTACGTGGACAACGCAACGAACGAGACGTTCTCGTACCACGATTTGTGCCCGAAGACGCCCATGCTCTTTTTCAATCACTACTGGGATGGCTTCCCGGGGTCGCCGGATTGGCCTGCAACGAAACCGGTGTATCTCATGCCGAACATTGAAATGTATGAGCTGACGGCTGAACACTAGTGGGCTGTGGACGTCGTGCTTTGCAAGACGGCCATTTGCGCACGTTATGTACAAATGTGGTATCAGCAGGAGGGCAATCCGCGTCATACAAAAGTGCTGTACACGAGACACACGACGTCAGACATTGCATCGTTGGCGAGAACACGGCTCGGCGAGGATGCAATCAAGCCAAGAAACTGGTCGGATGTGCACTTTGTCCATACTGTCGGTATTAGCGTTCAAAAGGGAACCGAAGCTGTGTTGGATTGCTGGCTCAGTCGCCCAGACTTTCCTCCCTTGGATGTGTATGTTGACGAGGGGTTCTACAACGAAAAGTTGAAGGATCAATATGAAAACAAAACTCGAGACTCGCAGGTGGTGACTATTCATCGAGGTCGCGCTTCTGCCACTGAGTTTGGCAAGTTGATGGCAGAATCGGCCTTTTTCATGTGCTCAAGCGGAATGGAGGGTTACGGACACTACATAAACCAGGCGCGCGCCAGCGGTGGTGTCATTGTGTCGACTAACTTGCCGCCCATGAACGAGCTGTTGACTCCCGCGTCTGGTGTGCTTATTACAGTGAAGCGCGAAGCGCATAAGGAGCAGATGCTCGGAGGCAAGTTTGAGGGAGAGCATGGCTTGAAAGGGATTGAGGGGTACGCTGCAGTCGTGGAGGCTTTCGCTGTGTGCCGGGCTGTCGAAAAAGTGCTGGCTATGACTCCGGCTGAACGTGAGAAGATGGGGGCACGAGCAAGGAGGCAGTATTTCGTGGACATGAAGTTTTTCGCTACAAAGATGAAGGAGGTGCGGGAACTTACCTGTGGATTCGGGGCATCCTGGTTTCGCTCTACAGGCGCTGCATGAGGTGCTTCCGTGTACTAGTAACGTGAGCCTGACGGGTGAGAGGAGTCGCGCTTATTGCTGATTGTGGTGGCACGATTGCTAAATATCTGAGACCGCGACCGTTGCAGATGATAGGGAGGAAGTGAGCAAGAGTGTGAACTTCGGGGACTCCTATTGATTCGTGTGGATATACAAAACGTGTTTCATCGGCTTTGAGCTGAAGCAGTTTTTGTGTATTCGTAGGACGGCGTGGTTGAGTTGTGACTTGACGTCATTAAGCTTCGTTCAATAGCTGTGTTTTGGAGTTTGAACTCCTAGTAAAACCAACTTCATTGTCATGACCCTGTACGAATGACCTCAATGTCACTGAAAATGGGAGTTTTTAGATTCACTCACTTTTTGGTTAGATTCACTCTATTTTTGGTTCGATTCACTCCCTTTTCTTCGATCAAGTAGCCAATCGGACAGCCAATTCTGATTGGTCTAATCTACGTGTTAAGTCTACCCGTTCAGCTGACAGAGAAACCTGGCTCATCTGATCCACGAGAACATACAATATTGCAATATATGATAAGGTGTTGATTCACCAGTTCCGTTTCCATTTAAATGTATCGAGTAAACTTGTTATTGCTCAAACTTTCATGGGTGACAGATAATTTTGTCGAAAGTTAATGGATTTTGGGCCGATTTAATGGGCCAGTGGTGTGGGCACGACTCTTCTGCGAAAATGGCATGTGTTTAAAACCCGCCTCCGTGTATTTCACAAACATCGATTTTTTGGAACCATTCGAAACGTCATTCATCATTAGGCCGAAAAAGGCTGTTCTCGGCTCGGTGAGAACTCGCACCACCTCGTCCTTAGACAGACCCGTTGTGATCTTCAAGCAACGGAATCGACCAGCAAACTCGGCCATCAGTCCATACGACACTAGATCCTCAGGCTCGGCATGAGATCGTAACAGGCCGATCTGATTGCTATCTTTCAGCCGCATGTTGGGCATCGGAGCACAAAAGCCAGTCGATGACTGCGCTGTACGCTGGGCACCTGTTTTTCCAGACTGACAGATGCGCCACCACAAATAAAAAGAATGTGGTCGTGTCATTAGTAATGTACTCGCCGCACGGGTTCTTGCGACCGCCCTTTACCAGCACATTTACCATACTTTCTTCCAAGAGCTTCAGCAGCGTTGGCTGCACCCCTTCGCCCGACACGTCGTGTGCGATACTTACGCATTCTCTCTTTCGTGTATTTTGCCAATCTCGTCAATGCACACGATAATAAGCGGATAGCTTCATTGATGTAGTTACCAGCTTCGTACTGTTTGAACCAAACCGACCCGACATCCTCGTCCACGTACCAAGCTTGAGTCAAATACGTTGCACTGGCAATTGCAATCGACACTTTAGCTATTCGGGCTAGCGTCTTCGTCAGCAGCGTCTTCTCCGGACTGGTGGGGCCCGCGAGCATGATATTTGCCTTGTCCATCTCGACACCCTTCAGCGATTGCAACTTGTCCTGTACTGCAGCGTCACGAGCGTGAGCAGCCGCTGGATTGGACCCAGATGAGTCAATCAGCGTCTGACGGGTCGTTTCTTCGAACTCTGCTGGGGTAGAGTAAATCTCCTCTAGGAGCAATCGTTGGCCGAGAATCGACCGCCGTGCGTCTTCTGCGTCACTTTGTTGGCCCGTTTCCCCCGTACTCACTTACTGCTGCTCTAAATCTTGGCACATGATGCTTCTGCTTCTCTCTCTGCTTGCAGCAGATCCAGCTTACCGTGAGCCCTTGGAAATAAGCCATCGCACATTGCAGGTCTGCATGTGTAAGCGTTCCACCAGCAGCAACATTGGTACTGCAGTTAGGTTGAGCATTTATGTTGCATGTGCAAACAGTTTGCCAACCCACAACGGCTGAAGAGCTCATCTAACTTGTCGCCGTTTTTTAGTCTGGCACAACGCCAGATTCAAAGCATGCAAGAGGAGTCTTGGTCGAGATCGAGATCTCCGTGCTGTGTGACTTAGTAGCTGATAGTCTTATGCTATTTACGTTTCAAGTTGTGGCAAACGAGCATTTCTCACAGTGCAACTGGGTGTGTACGCATCAAAGGGCAAGGTGTGAACCCATCAGTTTCTTCACTTTAATGACCATCACAAATAGGGTTTAAATAGGAACCAAACAAATCCGTAACCTCACTTGAACATGGCCCAAAACGTGTCATGGCTACATTAGCAGGCATCAACCAGCCAGCCAATCACAATCCTCCTTGACCCAACTGTAACCAGACCAATGTCGCTCGACATCGCCGTAAAGGTATCGCCTACTGGCGTCTTGAACGAGCGTCTCGACGCAACAGCACGCGTCCTACTCCACCAAGATGGCCACTATCAACTGATTGAGCGTTCTCTGCGCGATTTTCTGCACTTGGAGCGTCAATTACACGCTGAAATCGCTACAGCAGCTGCGTCGCCGCTCTCAACGTCGATCTCTCAATCAATTGACGCGTTCAGCAACGCGAATCGGAGCGTTTACCCATTCGATCATCTTTCTATTCGTCTTTCAGTTCAACTGGAGACGTTTCTACTTCACTTGGCGTTGAGATCCGAGTTTCTAGCGACGTCCCGAGCGTTAAAAACGTTCCTTTGTGGGAATGAATGGACGAAAGAGGAGACGAGTGCACGGCATTATCGAGACGCAGTGGAAACTGCACTTGGAGATACAGATGGAGCGAAGCTGTTGGATGCGCGAGTGGCAGTTGGCTGCTCGGTGGAACACCACGAGACGGTAGAGTTTGAGAGAGCAGAGGAGAAGCAAGTGGTGCTCTGGAAGTTTACATCAGAAGGCGCAGGAGTGATGTTTCGTGCCTGGTTTTCACGTACTGTTGAGACAGAGGGATTAGCTGTTGATCCCTATAGCATCAGCAGCAACAATGTGGTGGAGAATGAAGTCAAAGAGCAAGAAGTTGCGTACTACAGAACGCACTGCACGTTCAAGACTGGAGAAAAGAGTTTTGCGTACGGACACTTTGTAGCCGAGAAGACGGGGGTGTTGACGCTGCATTGGGAGAACGTGGACAAGAGCTCGGTCATGTCCAAGCCGTTGCAGTTTTACGCTGCCGTGGTGCCGCTTAGTGATGCGAATGAAGTGTTGGAAACTGCCGATGTTTGCAATATTGTCGATAGTGCAGAGTGGCTGCTATGCCACATACGCACGTCAAGCATCACGTCATTGGAAGATCTCAACGGGTGGAACGATGATGATTGCGAAGACAGCGCCATCATGGAAGATGATGCATACGACACCAGCGTGAAGGGTGGGGATCACGACCTGAAGTCGAGACTGCAGTCGGCAGTGCTGGAAGAACGCAATCACGAGCTTGAGGCGCGAGTGGTGAGTGTTTCTTTGTTTTTTGATCCACGGATTCTGTATCTGGCACTAACGTACGCATGCTTGCGAACTCTAGACTTGTCTTGAAAAGCATCTTGCGGCTACCAAAGAGGAGCTCAAGAGCGCAGTGAACCGCGCGGAAATCGCAGAAGAGATCTATAAGGCTAATCTGGAAACCATTGCGCAGCTCGAACGTGCGAAGATCGGCAGAACCGTGCCAAAGTCGCAGAAGGTTGCAGCTGCATCGTGTGCTATGCCTTCGGACGGACGACTGGACCTCGTCGGGGCGCCGATGGAGCAGGCGCCCTCAAGTGAGCTTGAGCGCATGCAAAACCTCTGCGCGGGTTTCCAGGAGCAGTGTCTCTGGCGGTCTGTGGAAAACATGGAGCTCGAGACACAGCTCGCTGCGTCACAAATCGAGGTGTCATCGTGGCGAAAAAGACACGGCGAGCAAGCTGCGCAGCTAAAGGAGCTCGAGAAACAGATCTCCACTCTGCGGATGCACAAGAAGATGCTAGTGGACGAGGTGAAGCGATTGCAGCCATTTTCGCACGTGAACGTGGCTGCGTTAGTGCAAGAGGCACAAGAAGCACGAATGGTGCAGCGCAGTCTGCAAGCCAAGTTGGACTTGCACGAGCCAGTGGTGAGCACCGGCGAATCAATTGAGACGCTGCAGTCTAGCACGGAGTATGTGGCTGGCGAGGCCGCAGATGGACCGTAAACATGAGGTAATGCACGCAAGTTGAGGCGTTGTGCGATATCAACACCGTGCTCTGACGTTTGTCAAATCCTGCTGATCTCTCCCATCTTGTGGCATATCATTCATTCGTCGGTCGGTCGGTCGGTCAGTCGGTCTCCGATATAATTCCCCTGTCAAGCCAGCAAATCCTGCTTTGTCCCTTCACTCGCGACAAGTGCCGTCGAGGGACATGGAGATCGGCATGGCAGAAGTGGCACTGGTTTTTCTCGGGGCGATGGGGCTCGCACTAGTGGTGTTGTGGCTCTATCGTGTCGCGCAATACCGCGGGGCCGTGAGACGTTCACAGGCGCGTTGGCTGGCGTACGAGCCTGCACATGTGCTCACGGAGGACGAATTGGGACTCAATTGGCCCAGTTTGAAACCAATTCTGCTGTCGCCAATACTCGAGGAGCGGCATGAGAGTGGACGTGTAAGGTTAAGGCGGAGAGACAGTCGAGCGAGTCGAGTTTGGAGACCAGAGCTGATTGTTGTTGGCTGCGTGGTTGTGGTCTATGTTAGGAGTCAGAAAACGACTCGATGGTGTCGACGCGGCGGGATTCGCTGCCACTGAGTGCGATCTCGGTCATTGCCTGTAAGTTGTGTGGATAAGGAGAAGGCGTTTGCTGTAGGGCATGTTGTGTAATGGACTGTGTGTTGATGTGGACGTAGATGGGAGCTACGAGCAAGCAGTGGCGAAGACTGCAAAGGTGTAAACACAGAGAGGGAGAGTCAGCGAGAACGAGCGAGATGGAGACAGGATTGAGTGACAAAGATAGAGAGACAAGGAGGATGGATGTTTGGCTGGTTGGGTGTGGTTGGTTGGCTGGCTGGTAGCGACGTGGAGCCTGCCTCGTCTCAGGCGACGCGACGATAAACCAGAGGGATGTTAGTTCAAGCCACGAGAACCTAAAGCAGAGGGCTGAGACTTGAAGGACAACTACTTGTAGTGAGACTGTAGCGTGGGTGGCACAATGAGTATACAAGTGCTAGCAGAAATCGCCGCAGTCGTAATGGGGGAAGGAACGAGGATTTTCCAGACACGGCGCACGTCAGGTCCTGGAAGAGCATGGCAAACGAGACTATTTATTGTTAAAATGTGTTCATGGGTGTCGTTATCTCTGTAGGGTAGAGTATGCGGGGCGGGGAGAGCCATGCCATGTAGCTCAAGTGATGAGAATCCTGGCTGTATGTCGGCTGGTGGCGACATTAAATGATGACAACGAGCAAGACGGATCAGGTCGTGAAGAGCCATCGCACGCGTGCTTCAACTTCGTCGAATTGGAAGCAGTGCATTGTCTAGACTCCACATGCTATGGTCTGGATGTGTCTATTCCAGCGAGTTGGCGGGTGCAGGAACACCACGTCGTTGTGTGAACTCGACCTCGTTGGACTTTGTCACATTTGCTGCAACGGGTCTCCGTAACTGGGTGCAGTCGTCTCCTGTATCTGCTGAAGATTTTGGCAATGGAGTCATCATTCGGTTCGCCTCAAAGAGGAACTGGTTCAAGTCCACCACTTTCGTCACGTATTCGAACACGTCGCGCGTGGTGTCGTCCATTTCCTCAATGTCAAACCTGTCTGCGGCGGCTTCTTCTCTGCACCGTCAATTTCAGGCTCGAAGACATTGAAAGATTCTGTCTGCGGCGGCTTCTTCTCTGCACCGTCAATTTCAGGCTCGAAGACATTGAAAGATTCGTCCGGGTGGAAGATGTACTTCATCTCTTCAGTGCGCACGCCCTTGCTCATACCATTGAACGGATTGCACATGACAACGCGGCGTCCCTGAGGGCTCTTCTGGGCTTCTGCTGCAAGTGCTTCGGCTGTCGACTCTTTCAGACCAGCGTTTTCACCTGTTACAGTCAACGTATGATCCTCGTTTTCAACCTCCGGTTGCACACGACGACGCTTCATGGAATGACCGTATCCGTGCTGGTAAAGCGGCTCCTCTGGCGTCACGCCGAGAATATCGGCAATAGTAGCCATAAGGTCTGACTGCATGGACAATTGGTTCACAACTTTGCCCTTGTCTTCGTCACGAATGAAATCGTCGGCCAGCAATAGGAACGGCACTCTCGAAGCTTCGTCCCACACTCCCGACTCTGCCATGGACGGGTTATTATCATGTTCCGGACGACCATAGCCATGGTCTCCTTCGATGATTACAATTGTGTTCTTCATGAGTCCCTTTGCACGCAGTGACGCAATAAAATCGCCCAGCATCTCATCCGAGAAGTACACCGAGTCCAAGAACTTCTTGTTGTAACGTGTATATAGCCCGGACAAGTCCGGCGTATCATAGAAATTCGGTAGTACCCATGGATTCTGGCTCGAAATGCTGTACATATCGATGAAGTACGGCGTCTGCAGTCCTTCCCAGCCGGAAAGCGGAGCTTTGGCTGGTATAGATGATATTGTTGAAGACAACTTGTCTGTTGGTAGTTCCGAAGTAGACGTCCCATTTCCACTGGAGTTAGTAGTGTGATGATATCTGCTCCTAGCTGTAGCTTCCTGGACAGTCGTCATATCCTTATTTTCAGTTGTGTTCACAGACGTCTCGTTGACAGTACTATATGCCGCAAGTGATGCATTTGCAGCACCAGTCAAGTCCACACTAGCATTATGGGCCGACTCAATAGCGTACAAAAGCATCTCAAAGGATAAGTGGTCATGCATGCCCCACGAAAAATGATCGTCCGGTGTATTCTTGTACTTCCGCGTCTCGTGCAACATCTTGCGAATTTTGCGATCGTCCACAAGCTTATCAAACCCATTCTTCAGCAGAAATTTGTCCCAGTGCTCCCACGTCGGACCGACCGCACTCCAAAAGAGATTAAAGTAGCCGCGCTGCTTCAGAAAGTGTGGCAGACCGCGCACGTTTAGCGTTGTACTGTATTGTTTCAGTGCAGTAGTCTCCGTGCACGACGGTAACATTCCAAACAGCGTTGTCAGGAGCGTTCGCGTAGTTTGCACACACTGGGTGTAGTGTTTGCTGTACAATATGCCGCTTTGTGCAAGTTCATCGAATCGAGGCGTCGCGCTTTTACCAGTAGTCGCCTTCTTGGTCGCACCACCGAGCACACCGACATCCAGGTGCCTCCAAGATTCCATGTTGAGCACGATGATGTTGGGTTGGACTTTCCTACGTTCTGCTGCAGCCGATCCGAAACTAGCATCCGTCGTTGCATTCACAGCGATTTCATGAGCCATAGTCCCGACAGCTGTCACATTGAAGTCCAGATCGAAAAAGCTCTCACCTTCATAGCCTGTTGTCTTGCGCCACAGCAACGCACAATGATCATCATTTCCCAGGCCGTCCAGTTCGTACTTCTCGCTACCACCTAAAGTTGATCGCAATGCGCTGCTAGCTGCTGTGCAATTCATCTCCTCACGATGGATCGCCGTAGGGCGATGGAAGAAATGCTCAGTCTGTAGCGTAAACATGGCGTTATTCATAAGCTTCATATCTACACCACCCTTCCCATCGATCAGCAGTGATGCTGACAAAGCAGCGGCTGTCATCAACATACTTGCAAGAATGCATCGGGCCAGCACAGTCAACGGTCCAGATTTAGTAGAGGAATTGTAGCCCAAAGACAGCGACGAGCTTAACGCTGACGCTGTTGCATGGCTACTAGCACCTCCACCAGCAATTCCACCTGGCAAACGACCATAACTTTGACTGCTGCGTCTTCGTGCGTAACCCGACTTTCCCACGCGCTGCCAATACGACGCAAACAAGTTTGACGCGTACGAATTTGACGTTTCCAGCGCTGACACGTTCGTTGAAGCCATCGAGTCTTTCCGCGCGTTGGGTCGTCGATCAAAACAGCAGCTGAGCACACTCGGTAGTCGCAAGAAATCGGACGCTAACGGCAAGTGACCCGTATAGAATCCATACGTTAATGCAGCAATGAGTGCAAAGTACACCGCCCAGGATCCCACGACTGTCCGCGTCATAACTTCTTCGTCAGCCATCGACGCAGGGAATTGCTTCAGGTAGTTAAAGAAGATGCTAACAAACGCACGATTCAACCGCGGGTGCATTGTCACTTGGAGACAAAAGTCTGCGACGCTCGCAATTGTCGCTGCCACTAGAATCAACTGCAGTAACAGAACAATCACGACCGCGTGCAGCACGCGCTTCATTCGTGTAATTAGTGTCGGTTGGTCGGCTGATGCAGCGCCTAAACTCAGCAGCGTTCGATGGTTTGTGACTGCGCCAGAGGCTGCTGCCTCCATTCCTTCATCTGTGAAATCATACGCCGTAGCAAGCACTGGCATGTAGACTGGCAAGAACCTCGTGCTTGCACTATAGTCCCTTCGAAAGCCACTATTTGGGAAACTCCTGACGACCGCAGCAGTCGTCTTCGTAGCAGCCACAAGTCGATGGGGCATCAATGCTTCGTCCCCATCCAGCAATATCTTGACAGAGCAGATGCACGTTGCAGTCTGCAGAAAGATCGCCACGTCCTGCAGCCACCCCACCAGCAGCCCTTGAATGATCTTGAACGTACTAAATCGGTGCACAAAACGGGCAAAGTTTAACACGCGTCCGAGCACTGGCAGCCCTAGAAACGCGTACACCAACACAGCAAGCCACATAGTCTGGTACACTCTCTGAGACGCCAGAAAGACACTACGGCCTCGGTACCACCGTTGCGTGCGACCCCATAGAGACGTGTCGGTATCCAGACTTGTGGGGTTCATGCCTCCTCGCGTGATGTCGGTGAGCTCTTGCGTGGGCAAGAGGCCCCTACTGCGGCGGTACATTATAGAACTACTTAGAGGAGCTGCTCGTGTTGTGGTCTGAAGTGTTTCGTAACATTCGGTCAGTCAGCCGGTTAGTTGGTCGGTCGGTCGGTCGTTACTGTAACTGGGTTTTGTGCTTCTGTGAATACCTCGTTCCCTGTCTGTAGCCGCTCTCTTGCTCGAATCGAGTGCAATAGGGACAAGAGAGAGCGTTTTGAGCCCGACTGACTGACCGCGTGGTGAAAGAAGCGAGTGAATGCGTGACTTGTGATACAAGCAAAGAACTGGCCGATCAAGCTACGGACTGACGGACTGGCAAGAGACGCACGGACTTCTCTCTCTCTCCCAATAAGGTACGCAGTAGTAGGCTCCGTCCCGACGTCCCATCCCACGGGATCCCAGCGCCCTGTCCTGCGCGGGGACGGGACGCAGCATGAGCCGGTCACATCCCGCAAGCCCTCCACATCCCGCATTCAATAATTTTCTCAGTAGATAAAGTCGGGACTCTTTTAATTTTCTACCGTCGAAACAATTCTATGGGAATTCAGATAACGTAAAATGAAAGCGTCATCTATTTTAGATGAACATCTTGTTAAATTCAGTGTCCATTGTGATTCTTTGACTTTTCTGTCAAGGCATGCATCCAGGCATCGTAGGTGCTTGTAACAAGGTTTTGGTTGCCTCTAGCGACGATCCGATGGGGATCTTATCCTACTAGGGCCTCGCGACTTCTATCTATGGTGAAGGTGAGTTCCTTTTAGTACTAACTCGATTGCTGAAAAGCCTCGCCAAGAGGTTGAGACGATTTCACCAAACGTCAAAGTCGCCTATGAGCAATCGCATGAGCTTAAAAACTTTGGCCAGAATTATGCTTTAAAACACTGCGACTCACTATCAACTCTACTGCATTGATGTTTATGCACGTGGTAAACCTTAGTAATGTCGTTACAACCACGTTTAAAAGAGTCCTTCTTGCATGGGTCTGCCATTGGCAGCACTGATTGGGATTGAGCTGCGCGGGACGGAGCTTTACACAGTAGTAGTAGGCAAGCCTTGCACGAGCACAGGGTAGGGGAGCTCTAAAACGAGACATAAATGCTCCTGAGGTGCGAGCACGAAAATCACATAGTTTTGCTCCTTTCGCTTGGATATGAGAGCTACGAGTGTTTTGCCTACTCCCTCCCCTCGTTCTCGTTCCGCTGTCCGATCGAAAAACAATTGCTCTCTCTGAGCGTATCTCAATCGTTGATAATTATAATTCACTTTGATGATCGCAACGCAAATATTACGGTACATCTTACACGCGTTCCAATATCAATCAACGAATTTGAAACGCCTTACTGTCGCCTGATGAAGATCCCCTTTCAATGTAATGTTAGCACCTTTAGTGCACTCGGATTCTCCTTCGATCAGTTTTTATATGAGCTGATTAGTATCGTGGTCTAGGCGCATTTTATTCTTGCATGCTGTTGGACTGAATAAGTTGTTGCACATCCCTTGCAGTTTTTGTGCTCCTCGTCGACTTTGGTCGTTGCCTCCTTAATCTTTCCACTTTTGCTTCACCTTCAGCAGTCTTTGCCAACTTAGACTCGTTTGTATCGCACAATGTTTTTGCAAAGCCTCGTTGATGCGGTCGTTCACGAAGTGTTCAATTTGTGCGCCCCGCTCGACCGCGTTTCCAAAGTTCCATGTGTAACCTGTCCTGTCGCCCTCAGCACTTCTCTGAACTTCTTGAAATGAAACAGTTTGCTGATGCGTCAGATTCATCTCGCTGGTTTCCATGGAAATCTGAACAGCCATAAGCGCTGCATTTGCACTGGTCCTGTCGTTGCTGCTGGTGTACTAGTAACGAGTGCTCAGCAGCACTAGTCTGAATTGGAAGAAGTAATAGCTGAGCAAGTCTAGTGATGCTAGAGGCTCTTATAACAGTAGAGTGTGGTTGGCCTAGGTGCTCGACTATTGCAGTGTTCATGTCTTTAACATCATGAAATGATGCTGCTCCTTCTCAAGTTCCGAAATGTGCCTGGCAAAAACTATCGTGTACTAAATTTGAAGTGACTTTTTCGATGTCCAATGTTCTAGTAAATGTTATGACCTAGCTTTGCAAATCTTCAGATGAGCAAAGCCAATCTAATGTCTGAACAAAGACAATCACATTTTTTATGCTAGTCGGATCTGCAGAAAACGAGCAAGAGCGAAGTAAGTTATCGTGCTCCCCTGCAAAAGCGGTGAAAGAAGGGGGCTCAAAGCCTCAAATGCTCTTGAAGTTTTGGTGCTCCCCTGTTTTTGCAGGAGCAGTGCTCCCACTTTGCTCGTGAATGGCTTGGTAGGTCTTGCGGTACTTTGGCGGCGCAAAGAAGGGACACTTCTCACTTGATCTTCCGAGCGGCTGGGCAGTATATTTGTGTCCTGAGACAATGGCGACCGACCAGGAAAGAGCAGGATGACGGACCTGACTGGACAAAACCGGATTCTTGTCTAACGTGGCAAGAAACGGCCAGAAAAAAGCCGACCGGGAGGAAAGCGTACCTAGTGTGCTTCGTCGGGTACATATCGCAGCGAGTGTGCAGACGTGCATGGCTCACTTACAGGTACTACTTCAGACTACACCTGCCTGATTGGTGGAATGTTCCCTAACCCTTGTCAGTGCGACGTCGCATGTCATACGCATGCTTGCGAATAGACAGCAGCCAGACGGGACAGCATACGAGACCGCAAGTCACGATTTGACCGAATCATTGGCCACGGTCACGCATCACTTTCAGCCAATCACAGTGGCGGGATTTTCCGACCGCTCCTGAGATCACGTGTACCATGCAGGCCTTGCTGCCCGCTCCGCTGTTACGTTCTCTACGGCGCTTTAGCGACTGCCACGAGGATGTAAATGCAGCAGATGTTTCCCAGTCCTCTCCCCTGCTTCACGGTGTGCTTTTAGGGACCCAGAAGCTTGTACAGACCAGTAGAAATGACGTACACCAGATCGCCATTTGGGCACTACTGCGTCAACCTTCGGACGACTGCGCTGGCCAATCGTTTGACCGTAATTTGCCCGGAGGTATCTCCCGCATTGGCAGCTTTGTAGTCGTGCGTGGAGACGCCATTGCGGATGATGAAAAGACTGGTACTATGTGGACAATTGACCCGAGACGACGAGTTGGATACCTGACGCTTACTTTTCATTGTGTTTGGTTTGTTTTGCGTAGAAGCTGTGGCGCTTCGTGAATCAGACAAGCAGCCGGAAGCCGCAGAGAAGGTTGTGTTGGTATACGGGTTTAACTCGCAGACGTTGAGGGTGTTTCGGTGTAAAGATGGGCGCGCCACGGCATTTGAGGTCAAAGTGGTGCCGTGTTTTCATGCTCAAGAGTTTCATCGCGCGATTGGCTACGCGCTACTACGTTGTGTAGTGGATTTAGATGCGATTTGGGAGAAAAGCGCGTTGTCGCAGCAGCTAGAGAAGTACAAGGCTGCGGCGAAGGATAGTGGCAACTTTTACGTGCGTGCAGCTGTCATGGAGGGTGAGAACGGTCGGATCTTCCGTGTGCTTAATAGTGCGGGAGAAGACTCTCTGTCTTCGGACGCTAAGCTTGTGTCATTAGAGGCTATCTTGCCGACACACGATGTTGTTGAAGACACACGTGATACAAAGAAAACGAAGAAGAAGAATGGCAAGAAGCAGAAGAAAGTTGACACGAAAGCAGGATTACAGCGACACGGAAAAAAAGACGATACGATGGGAATGTTACCATCGCTGGAGTACGGTGCTATAACAACTGTTGATTTGATGGTCAGTCTTGCGCCACTAGAGTCTTCTGCTGCTGCTGTCGCGCCTGTGGTTACAATTCCGGCACTGTCTGTTTCCAGGGCGCCAAGCCGTCGCTTTGGTGCATACTGTGATGCTTTGGTCGTGGTGTCTGTGGACCTGCCACTCAGTGCTGCGCTAGACTTGCTTCGAGATCAGGTGTACCTCCGGCTCTCAGAGGTTGCGGATCGGCTGAAGGATGCACAGGAGGCTGTGAATTATGTGGCAGTGCATCAGTTCCCACTTGTTGGGGCAGCTTTTCCATTAACCGTCGCTTCGAGCTCGGAGGAGCCGAGTGTTAGCGAGAAGGACATGGACGATGTGAAAGCGCTGGAGAGTTTGCACTGCGCGTTCCTGCAGCCTCTGGACCAGCCCCTATTCTGCTTGTCTCGTGGCTGCTCGCTAGCTCAGCAAGCAGAATGGCTTGCAACAAGTGACGTGTTGTACAATGTACACGAAGGTGTCGCTAGCTTCGGAGGAGGTTTGCATTGTCAAATAGCGCTGGTCGATGGTTTTTATGGCTACTATCATTATTTGCAGCAGGACTTGAACGACAAAGGTTGGGGCTGTGCGTACCGTTCGCTTCAGACGTTGGCATCTTGGCTATTTATGCAGCACTATACACAGCAGCGCTACCTCTCGCACCAGCAAATCCAGAGCGTGCTTGTCAAGATGGGCGACAAACCCACACGCTTTGAAGGGTCGACCGAATGGATTGGTAGTCTGGAGGTCGGATATGTGCTGGACGAGCTGTTTGGCGTCACCTTCCGGTCTTTGAGTGTTTCCAGTGGTGCCCAGCTGCCTGGTCTAGCGCGTGAGCTGCTTTGCCACTTTGAGACGCAGGGAACACCTGTGATGATGGGCGGTGGCCAGTTGGCATTTACCCTATTAGGCGTGGATTACGATCCCGATACGGGTGTTTGCGCCTTCCTCACACTAGACCCGCACTACACGGGCAACGAAGATCTACACACCATTCAAAACCAAGTTCTGGTACTGGAAGGTTACAAGGCCGTCCCATGCAGTTGGCGCAAGACAACAAGTTTTGCCAAGAACAGCTTCTACAATCTCTGCTTGCCCCAGCGCCCGAGTGTCGACATCTAAAGGCACAGGAAACCAGGAAAGCGGATCGACAAGATCAGTTCTGTACAGCTAAACAATGTTTCATTATTTTCAGGCTTCATCCAAGCTGGCACACAACACGAAAAGTTGGACGACTAATCGCGCCTCTCAACCGTAAGGCTCGTCATCGATGATCTGGTTGTTTGAACTGTTACTATCGCAGCCATGAATATAGCAATGTATCTGTGTCTGACATCCGTGTTACACTTAGAATCGACGGAGAGCCCTGGCATAAACGCGCTATTATTTCCATCGAAGAGGTAGGTAATCTCTCTTGACAACATGCTGCTTTTTCTTGTATGAATCATCGTGAACACTCAGTCGTCCCGTACATGTATGATCGACGCGCCACAACTTATGCTGCAATAGCGGTGTGAAGCACGTTCGTTTTGTTGTGGCGTATGTTCGAGACAGCCGATGCTGCAACGGCCGATGCCTGAGCAATAGCACGCATGTTCTTTGATCGCGCATTGTTCGCCGAGTTTGTCAGCATCTGCGCTAGTATATCCACCTGATTTTTCTTGTTCGCCTTCTTCATAATTGCTTTCGTGTTGTCCATCACTGCATCAGTTAGACAAGGTGCTCCATGAGATGCTTGCTTGGCGAAGCGCAGCAAATTCACCCACAGCGCAGCCTCCTCCGAATGCTTCGAGCGCATGAGCATCATCGATGGGGCATTCGCGCCCGTGTCGAAAAACTCCAAGCGAAAGTCACCCTGACTCATTTTCTCAATATGCGCCACGTTGCGCAAATCAACAACGCCGCGCGGGCTCTTCCAGTAGCTGCGCTTGTACATGAGCACGACACCCGCCTGGAAGTCCAAGTAAAACCAGCGCTTGTGCCAGCTGCGCATCAAGAATGGAATCGTGTCCTTCAGCAAGTTCACGTAGCCGCAATATGGCGGCAGTTCCAAATCAGCAGGCGGCATGGCCGGCGGCAGCTCCGTCTGCTGTGCCTGGCCGTGTCTAACATCAGGCATCGGCATGGCCCGAGGCTGTTCCTCGTGAAAAGCCTGAGCGAAAAAGCGTTGCAGCTGGCACTTCTCCGATCGAATGACAGCAATCGCCTGCACGAGCACCAGCTCGTCGTGCGCCAGTTCTGCGAGCTCGTCATCATCCAGCTCCAGACTCTTGACCTTAAGTCGGTCTTCGCGCTCCATTTCCCACAACGTGTGGTCGTCCACTTCATTCCCATCATCGTCCAGCAGCGTAAACCGACCCGAATCGGTGCGTTCCCGACGCAACAGCGAGCGCGAGCTCACCATCTGCTGATGCGATCCGAACGGGTACACGGCTGCTGGCGGCGTCGGCCCCACACCTCCAACCAGAGCTTCAGCCTCATCGCATCCCTTCTCCTTCATCTCCTTTATCAACCCTTCTTCATCTTTTCCGAGCCAGAACGCCTTCCCAAGGCCAAAGTTCTGACGAAACATAGCCACGGTATTCGCGTCTGTCACGTCATAATAGCCGTGCGATTCAAAGAACTGCATGCCGTCCTCCGCGTCTCCTTCGTACACGGCCTTCAAGTGCAACTCAAACGGCGAGTGCCTCTCGCTGCCGCTCTCTCGAGTACCCAATGCACTCACAGGCACGAGTTCGGGCTCCACATTGTCGTCGCTCCGCTGTTTCTTTGTCCACTGCACGTGCTCGTCGTCGCCCTGCATGGCCGAGAGCTTGCGCGTCTTGGCTTTGCTTGGAAACAGAACCGCCCCACGACGTGGCGGCACCGGCAGCATGCGCTCGCCGCGGTGGTTGATCATGACCGTCGTGGCCTCGGCGCGTCGCATGAGGGTCAGCATCTGAGTCAATGTCCTGGCTGACTCGATTAGTAGCCCCTCGTCCTCGAGAAGCTACAACAATAGACTTGGCGACTTGACAACGCGCTTCTTTTCGTACTTTTCCTTTCGAAGTACGAAGACAAGAGACGGGGCAGTGGGTGGCTGGGTGGCTGCAATTCAACACTCGCTCTCTCTTGGGTGTTTGAGGGTTTGGGGTTTGGGTTTTAAGTTCCAGGATGCCGCCGTAAAGTGGTGGTGGAAGCCAGTGACTCAGCCAATCAATCGATTGAGGCGTGAACAAGCGAGCGAGCGAGCGATGCAATCAATCACTCGACTGGGCGTGTGTGCACGAGACGTCGGTAGCTGTCGACGTCGATGCGCAAGATGGAGTGTGGCCCTTTGCTTTGCGCTCGGCGGTTTTCGTGCTTCTGCCTCGCGCTTTCCCCACTGCGGAACAACAGAGAGCGAAAGCGCACGGCAGCCATGAGAAAAACCAAATCCGGGCGATGCGTGCCCCCCTCATGTAGCAACTGAAAATTCTCCAAACACCTCCAGGTTTGTAAGAGCGATCTTCTCGGAAGAAAAAGCGCCTGATTTTGCGCCTGCTCTTCGAGGCAGTGTAAAGTAACGCCATGGGTTGGAGGCAGAACATATGATCAGGGGGTAGGGCTCGCGTGCATGCTCTGGACGTATGCAGCTTCGCTCATTGCGAGTGAACAGAACGGAGCTCGCTGGCGTTATTAACGTCAGCCAACCGTTCGTAGAGCCAACGGGCGCTAAGTGGTCGTGGAAGTTTCGATCACGCACGGACGATCGTCATGCCGTCGAAGGCGCAGTATGACGCGGCGTCATAAAATTGGTTTCAGATGGATGGGTCCGCTTGTAGGCTACATAAACAGCTGGTGCGGCGCGGTGCGACGTGACGATGCTGCGCAGACGCGTAAACCGCCAACTCTTAAGCTGCCATAAATTAATTTGAACTACTTAGTCCTCCACTGCTTGCTATTGCGATAGTGTTGGACATAAAAAGACCTCTCATGCTGCGTCCTCGGGTATGGCGGGCTACACCTACGACTGGGTCACGTTACTGCGCACTTATGACCTAAACCATGATCGGTACACGAAACCACCATGTATGTAAAGTATGACTCAAGCAGTCGTTACTTGTCACAACGCCAGTCGTAGACGGACACTAAACCACAAGTACAGCAAACTGAACAACGGGAAGAGAACCAAGACGCGTTAAACGAGCTCAGTCCAAACAATGAGAAACAGCGACTGCACTTTGTAACGCTTGAGAGCTGAGCTGATGAGCTGATGAGCTGATACCGTTTACTGGACGTTTCAGCGCCATGGAACGAGAAAGGCAATGCCTACCTCGTACCGTAACACCTTGAGGTCACTACAAATGTCTCAATGCATTGTCGTCCCGTTTCAATTTGGACTCAATTGGATTTCATAGTGATGACGGAATTGCTGAATCAACGGCAAGCAGATGTCGTTTCTATCACACGTCACGCCTACATAAAGTCCTTGTTCGATTGACGGATAAATGCTTGCGCTTGATCTTGTCGTTTTGCTGTCGCTACAGATGACATCTTGCAATCAAGACTTGTATCGGCTCGTGCGTGGACTCCTTTCTATTTGTAACTGGTCAGTGCTAGCTCACATTGTAGGCCTGCAGCGCACGGAAACACTTGAATGTCGCATTCACACGAAGATATTTTCACAGTTGGTGAGTATGGCAGAAAAATTAGCTCGCGATTAGGGATTTAGGTCAAAAAGAAAAGTGCTTGCAGTCTGAGACTGGTGGACAAAGCACAGGTACCGAACGGCAAGACCGTGAGCTTAGGAATGTGAATGTAAGGTTTGCTGGGCTGGAGAGACGCTGGCTGATTAAAGGACGTGAGACGAGGACGAATGTGTTTTGGTCTCCAGATGTGTCAACGATCTCGAATCGAACAAGATTAACACTATTAGACACAGAATCATACCCCACGATTGTAGGCTGTCATGTACGACAAATTGCTGTACCAACGCCTGCATATATTCTTCCACCAGAGCCGATGATGAGCTAGGTCCAAATTTGATATTACTTTCCAGACCTTGAATACGTCCTGACATTCGTCGTTTTCTGACCGCACCTTGAGCATGCCAAACGTGCAAACAACTCAGATGCAAATCGCCTGTAGTCTGTTGCCTATTCCGATGGACGAGGTAATGCCGGTCCAATGGTGTTTTCACGCTAATTTCCGTGATTTCGACAATAGTTCGCGAAGCAAGCTCTGAAGCTGGCCCTTTTATGCATGTAATTCACTTTAGAGAACTCGATTATGTTTTGCATATTCATGCACTGTAATGGGGTGCCTCTGTAACGGGGTAGCCTGTTACATGATATTGACACCAAATGGTGTCAATAGGCAGATTGTCTAGCGTGACAATCTCCTGCCAATATAACCCGAGATGGATAATATTGAAGGAATATTATCCCTTTTGGATAGCATTCATGCGCTGCTCCAAGATTGGTTGATAAAAGACATATCAACCAAAATTACCACCAATCCCTGCTAGACACGCGGAATGAGTGGTGAGCAGGTTGTCGTCATACGACGACGTAGTTTAATATAGTTAGATAAAGATTGAAGTTATATTGATAGCTTAACTATATTAAACACAGTTCTCTTTTTACCTTTTACTCAAACTAGCTGTTTGAGTAGATTAGCTTCCTCTGCACGTACTAGTGTACGTGAAGTTTCGTGGCACCCCGAACAAAGGGTGCCCCGTTACACCTGGTAGCACTTCTTTGTCCGAATAACGACTACTTAGTGTCCGTCCAACATGAACATGTTGGACGTAGAAGACGACAGCTTTCACGTCACACGTGAAGGCTACTCCCATCTGAGTGACTCAGAATGGGAGATAGTCGGCCGCATGAGTGTGCTCATGGGCGAACCCGCCATCAGTGGTATGTTGGAGTCTCTAAGCAGAGACCAGCAACATGCTGCTATCAACAAGTTCCTACAAGGGGAACTTGCCGTCGAAAGACAGAAGATAGCCTTGCTACAACAGCAAGGCTCTCATCAGTCGATGGGCGGGCCGACGCACATGCGTCGACCCGAAACCTTGAAGATTGATATCTCAAGGTACAAGGGAACCGATGAAGTATTCCCTTTTGAGATGGTTCGTCGAGTTAGACGATGCCATCAGGGCCCGTCACATCGAGGGTGACGAGATGCAAGTCACCTTCGCCCTGTCAAATTTGACAGGACGAGCAAAGACTTGGGCCTTAGGGCTCAAGCTTCACGACCCAAACGTGTTTGAGTCGTTGGAGATCTTGAAGTCTCGGCTCAAAGAGACGTTTGAGCCGCCAAGAGCCGAGTTCAGAGCACGCTCTGCACTCTTGAGGCTAAAGCAAGGTAAGCGTGACGTGCATGCTTTCGCACAACACCTACGCTACCTTGCGAGTAGCGTCACGGAAAACCCTGTTGATGAGCACACGCTCATCAACGTGTTCATCTACGGCCTTGTGGATGGGCCGGTGAAGACCTACATGTTCCGAGAGGACTTCCATACGCTGGAAAAGGCGATAGCGTATGCGGAACAAGAAGACTTCAGCCTGAGACAGTCTCAGGCTAACTCGTCAAACTATTGTCCGACGAGACGACAGGAAACAGGAGGTCCCGAACCAATGGACCTCTGTTACATCGAGAGCGAGAACTCTCGCTCTCTGAGTCACAAGCGAACGGCAAGATGCCATCGCTGTCAGAAGATTGGACACTACGCTCATGAGTGTAGTGTCCCAAGCACCGCAACACGTCCAAAGACAGGACGTGATGACCACCGTTGGCCAAGGAAAGGTCCAAGGCGTGGGTCCGACCATGTCGCTAAGCCGCGACAGCAAGTCGGACCGCCAAAAACGGTCAGGGTCAGTAGGGGCGGAGCACCCTGCTGATCCAGCAACGTCAAGAGAATTTGCAGGACTCTTGACGAAGATTGCTCCCAACACACAGTCGCTGTGTGTTACTGCCCCTAGTGATGAGGAGTCCCTCATCACTTTGAAGATCGAAGTGACAAGTGGAATGTCACTTCGCGCCCTAGTTGACTGTGGGGCGTCGAACAGTTTTATTCGACGCCAGTCGCTAGAGGATAGTAGGCTCAACTATGTTGAGCGAGAGTTCCCTCCAACGAGGATGACGGTGTGCCTTGCTACAGGCGCATCCGTAACAGTGAACAAACGTGTAGTGGGAATCCACTACACGCTAGAAGGAAAGCAGTACGATGATGACTTTATCGTACTGGATTTGGATGACAAATTTGATGTCATCCTCGGTCTGCCATGGCTTCGAAAAGTACCAGCCATGGGTTAGCTGGCAGCATCGATCCGTGAAGATGCCTGCCGTTTGTTCATCGGATGGCCATCTGATGAACGTCTTGGAGCGTCCACAAGCGTGTGGGTGTACTACGAGTGAGTGCGATGGCCCCACTTGTGGTACGGTCGTTAGTACGACTGCACAAGATCACAGTGTAGAAGGCAACTACACTGTGGAACCAGCTTCCGGCACCTGTGTAGAGACACAGGCTGCGCCGAAGGTTCACCACTCGAAGAGATCGAGTGGACTGGAACACGGATGCACACCAAGAAGGGTGCATCCGAGAAGAGAGATTAGTGTTGTTCAGGATGAACAACACGTTGAAGCGAGATCGACTAACAGAGAGTCGATCGTAGAGCAAGCCCGATCGACTGAAAGAGAGTCGATCGAAGAGGACGTGACTGTGGTAGTACACCCACAGTCAGTACACGTAATGGAAGAAAGTTCCAGCGTTCCTGAGAGTGATAACTCCCGAGAGAGTTATGTTGAGGGTGTGGATCCCCAACCACCTGCGGATGTGTTTTCCCAGGAAATCACCGAGACAGTGAATGTCTTGGTGAATGACGGATCAAGTGTAGGCGCTTATACACTTGATCTGGTTACACCTCCGAAGTCAGCTTCGGAGGTAGTCAAGTTGCCAACGCTAGAATCTAAAAGATTCTTGCGAGATCTGCGTAGTGACAAGATCAAGCAGATCTGCGTACTCGTCACAGAGGATGACTACGTCGCCGATATTCGGTCGGCGCAAGTGTTTGCTGAGAACGAACAAGTTCTCAGTAGCTCATAGATGGACAAGAGTGTACTCGATGAGAAGACCCGGATTGAGTGATACACGTCTTAATCTTGGAAATCTTTGAAGACAAATCTTTGTATAAGGATTTGATCTAATTTAGAAATGTTTCCCGGAATCCGTGCCATGCGAGCTGCCCAAGGACAAAGACACTCAGAATGAGATCGAACTGAAGCCTGGTTCGAAATACTGTGTCATGAAGCAGTGGCCAGTGCCTCGTGAACAGGTAACAGCGATCGACAAATTCTTGCCGATCGTTCAGCGGCTGGTCATGTGAGGGAATCAACATCCCCACACAGCTCTCCGACCTTCTGTGTGCGAAAGGCCACAGGAGGGTGGCGGATAGTGCACGCGTTCAACAAACTGAACGATGCAACGGTACCGGCTCAAACGCTGATCCCAAGAAAGGATGTCATCATAGATGGTATGGCAAAAAGAGTACCATCTTTTCATCATGGATTCGATGGATGGATTCTATCAGATCCTCATGCGTGAACGGGATATCCCTTACACAGCAGTGAGCACCCCCAGTGGTATGCTCTGGGAGTGGCTAGTGATGCCACAGGGGCTAAGTAACGCCCCCGCAACGTTTAAAAGATGTGAAACGAATCTGTTGCGATCGGTTCGGGACTTCGCATCAAGTTACATTGACGATGAATTCGTCCATAGCCGGGCTATTGATGAAAAGACGGACGTGGAGGTTCATAGAATCCACGTCCGGAAGGTTCTTACACTTTTACGAGAGCATAAGTTGTTCGCGAACCTCAAGAAGTGTATATTCGCAGCGAACGAAATACCACTTCTTGGCTGCATCGTGGGTAAAAAGGTGTACGCCCTGATCCGGAAAAGATCAAGGCGTTTAGCGACTAGCCTGTGCCAGTAGACGTCAAGGGACTTCAAAAATTCCTTGGCTTGGCGGCGTACTTTCACAAGTACTCGCAAAACTATGCCGAGATGACTTTCCCGTATGTTAAAGAAAAACGAGAGGTGGTCATAGAGTGCTGAGTGTCAGCACTCTTTTGAAGGTGTCAAGAAAAGCTTGGTGCAATCGCCTGTGTTGGCGATTGCAGATCAGGATAGATCGTTCCATGTGGTCTGTGACGCCAGCGATTTTGCAATCGGCTGCGCGTTAATGCAGTACGACTCCGACGGCGTTGAGCGTGTGGTCTGTTATCAATAGCGCCAGCTGCAAGCAGATGAGCGTGATTACCCGATTCATGACAAGGAACGCCTTGCGATGAAATTTTCACTGGCTAAGTTTCGAATATATCTCTTAGGAGATAGGCCCTTCTACATTCATACCGACCATGCGCCGTTACGCACGGTCGTAAACAGTCCACACCTCTCGCAACGAATGGCGAGGTGGCTGTCTTTCTTCGCGGAGTACAACTTCTCCGTCGAGTATAAACCAGGACGACTTAATGTCGTCGCTGATGCTCTTTCGCGTCGGCCCGATTTCGAGCCGACTGCTCAACCCAACAGTAGGGGTGATCCCACTGTTGCAACACTAACAGTGAGTGTTCCGTCGTCGAATCTGCTCGACGACGTGCGGAAAGCATACGCAGAAGATGAGTCTCTTCTGCGGTTGATGGATTACGTCATCCAATCCATGCAGTCAAGCTTTGAAAAGCTTGACGTCTCAATACCGCTCTTCAACCGAACGGTATTCTGTTCGTGATGGACTGCTGTACTATACAGCAGTCAACGGCGACACACCTCGTGTCGTCGTTCCCGCTCATAATGATTTGCGATTGCGCATCATGTATAAGTGTCACGATGCCCCAACAAGTGGGCATCGCAGTAGGGAAAAGACTTACCTCACGGTGAGTCGTGACTTCTACTGGCCTCTCCAGTATGATTTGTGCGCAATTTTATTCGCGCTTGCGAAGTTTGTCAACAAGTAAAGCCTAGTCCTTCATCCCATGCACTCTTGCAGCCTCTATTGATCCGGGCAGAGTGCTGGCAGTTTGTATCGATGGACTTCGTCTCTGGGTTTCCCAAAGACGCTCACAAGAATACTGGTATACTTGTGTTTGTTGATCAATTCAGCAAGATCGTAAATCTTGTTGCTGTACCGGAGTCAATCTAATTCCAGGGCTGTGCTCGTGTCTTCATCGATACTATCTTCCGACCTCACGGGTTACCCCGTGAGCTCGTGTCTGATAGGGACCCCCGCTTTACGGCGGAGTTCTGGCAATCCGTGTTCCGTTCACTCGGAACGCGTTTGACGATGTCGACTTCTGACCATCCAGAAGCAGATGTTCAGACGGAACGCGTCAACCGCGTCCTCGAAGAGATACTTCGAGGATATTCCACTCGTTAACGAGTTGGAGTGAGCTCTTGCCGATGGCGGAATTTGCCATTAACAACTCGGTGCATGCGTCGACAACGCATACACCGTTCTTCGTGAATGGCCTACGCCATCCACGTTTACCCGTCTTCTTAAAGTGTGACTCTAGTTTAAGAGGGGGTGGACTCGCTCAAGCAAAAACCGACCTGGTTCTTGCTCATCACACGTAGATAATGGTGTCGACGTGATGGATGCCGATGTCGATCACAACGACACCAATGAATATGATGACGACGATGCTGGTATATTCAGCATCCCTAACGACTGCCACAGTGAGGACGATTACGCCTTCACTGGTGAAGACAACGTTCTAGCAGCAGTGCACACGAAGCGCACTGCTGTTGACAAGGATTAATCAGAAGAGGAATTTCTTCTGACTCGCATAGCAGTTGTCCGCTTCGTTCAAGATTCTATTGCAGATGCAATAGATGAACAGAAAAGAAACGCAGACAAACATGGAAGAGCAAATGTCATTTCAGTTGATATAGGAGACTTAGTTTTACTGTCAACAGTAAATCAACCAAAACACGCACTGAAAAACGTGGGCAGCAGTTAAATACTGCTCAAGTACATCGGTCCGTTTCGTTTATTGCGCCGCATGGGCATTGCGTACACGATTGAACTGCCAACTAGGATGCGTACGAATCCTACGCTTTACGTTGGAAGTCTTCGCTCGTACTATCAGTACGAGACTGTTTCGAGATGCGAAAAACACCTCCGCGGTCGAGAGCCGAGACCACCCTCGAAGTGGTCCCGTTTCAACGAGCCAGTCTGGTCGGTTAGCGAAGCGACCTGCTCACTCAGTTGAGCGATATCCTGACGAGATCTAGTCAGCTCGTCACGAAGAGAACGAACCGAACGTTTGTTCTCAAGTTGCGCAAAATGAAACACCGCACGGTCGTTCGAACGACCGTGCAATAAGAAATCGTAATGCTCCTTCAATATGTCATGAAGTTCGTAACGACGAGTCCGTATATGAGCCAGGTCGTCGTGTAACTGTTCCGTTACACGGTTCAGTCCCTGAACACCAAGCTGATCCGACCCTCGATCCGGATCAGGTGTTTCCGCCTTCATTGCATCCTTTGGTGGATTCTGGCGGTGGTCAACGCTTTGTGGTGTAGCATAATTTTTTTCACGCTACGTGAAGCGCATCCGGACGAGTAAACTCGTCCGCTGGCGTGGCTATCCACCGTCCTGGGACAGCTGAGTGTCTCGCGCCCAGCTGATTGTTGATGTTCTGGGTCTTGTCGAGCAATATGACGAGACGCACCCTCTGCGTTCGAAGAAGGGCCGTCGGAAAACGACCTCACCAAACGCAAGTACAGGGATTGCAAAGTGTCAGTCCCTTCGGCCATCTTAGAAGAGATGCGTGCCCTCCAGTAGGGAACATCAGGGAGGTAGGCCTCCCCAGGGGCACGATTTGCATTGTCCAGACAAATTATACACGAATCACCCCACAAGAGACATGGTAATCCTCCCTTTTGACAGTCGGTGCAACTTGTACCGTACACCGACTGGGTTACGCTTTTCAAACCTGATGCGAGCTGCATCAAGTTTACCGAGCCAGGACTCACGGCCAATACATTCAATGTCATGGATGAAGGCATTCCATCCTTGCAACAAAATTTTACCGTCTCGACATCGGTTTCCGTTGTACCACCGATGTTTGAGTAACACATGAGGGTAGCATTTTTCCTCAGCACGGATAGTTTCCGTGCTAGAATTAGGAGGACAGATCCTCGTACAGTCGAACACCGGGATTCGATCCCGTTCGGTGTTCATACCAGCCACTCAATCCAACTCCCTGGACGATGGCATCCAAGGAGACTCCACTAGAGGAGCATGGCGAAGGACATTTCGGTCCTTGATCTCTTGAGTGGTGTCAGCACGAGCACTGACACCAGTGGCGGCTCGATCCCTTAAGTTTATTTTCTCCTGTTGATGCATATGTGCATCACCACGCGTCCTACCGTCGGGTGTACTTACGTGAGATGAGGATTAGTCAGACAAATTGCTCGGTCCGAAGATCTCGGATATGATGCCGCCACGTACCCCAAAGACAGTCAACCTGGCTCTTGCAGTGTCCACTCCGGATGACCCGGAGGCGTGAGGAGTCGCTTTCAAGCCGGGAGCATCATCCGACTCGCCAGAACAGATGAGCTGAATTCCAGGCTCATCCACATTGTAAGTCACAGCACCCGCTGCAGACACAGCGTATGTATCGGTCGCTCGTGGTGACTCAACACGTGGACTAGTCACAACAGGCACCGCCTGTTGCTGAATTGCAACATCAGACGCAGGGTCACCTGCTGCTGAAGCAAGAGAAGAACTCTCTTCGGCTGCAAGCATGCTTGCAACCGCCTTTCTTGCTGCTTCGGCAGCCAATCGCATGGACTTTGACACCATGCAATAAATTGGCAAATGAGTTGGAATTTGACCAACAAAGGGCTTCCCTTCCTAAAGTGATCTAAATGTGATTACATTGTCTCGATCAATTAGTTTCAATTAGCGAGTGATTGATGATTAATGGGAGGGTTATGTAACGGGGTAGCCTGGTACATGATATTGACACTAAATGGTGTCGATAGGCAGATTGTCTCGCGTGACAATTCCCTGCCAATATAACCCGAGATGGATAATATTGAAGGAATATTATTCCCTATTAGATAACATTCATGCGCTGCTCCAAGATTGGTTGATAAAAGACATATCAACTAAGATTACCACCAATCGCTGCTGGACACGCGGAATGAGTGGTGAGCAGGTTGTCGTCATACGATAATGTATTTTAATGTAGTTAGATAAAGACTGAAGTTATATTGATAGCTTAACTATATTAAACACAGTTCTCTTTTTACCTTTTACTCAAACTAGCTGTTTGAGTAGATTAGCTTCCTCTGCACGTACTAGTGTACGTGAAGTTTCGTGGCACCCCAAACAAAGGGTGCCCCGTTACAGCCTCCGTTACATGATAGTTTATACAACGAAAATATCAAGTGCAGATATTATGTAAGGACAAACAGAATATTCTCACAATTTTAGCCAAATAAGTAATAAAATTGTGCTGCAGAAGTACTACACTGCTCATTGGTTGACAAAGCTTAGCGATATCAACCGATAAAGCCAAAACAAGACAGAAGAACACGATTAATGGTGAGCAATAAGTTACGCTACACGTTTGTATTTATAAACAGTTTAAAAAGGAACTAAGTAGGATTTATTGACAGAAGATCATCTATGTTAGATGCAGTTCTAGTTTTACCCGTTTCTCGTGTTGAGACCTTCCTCTGCACGATGCGTGCACGTGAAGTCTCGAAGCACCACCTTACTCCGTGTTCATTTCCAGTATCTTGTATTGTGATAGTACAAGCGACCGGTGCCCCTTCACATCTGGTAGCTCTTACGGAAGTAGTCCGTCCAACGACTATGAACTTGTTGTATGATGAAGCGAAAGACTTGCATCCAACGCACAAGAGCTACTCGTATTTGAGTCAAATTGAATGGGATACCGTCGAACGCTTTTATTCAACGATAGGGCAAGAAGCCGTAGACGCAATGCTGTCCGCTCTGGATCCAGACGGGCAACACGCATCCATCACCAAGCTCGTTCGAAACGAACTTAGCACTGAACGAAAAAAGGTAGCCTTGCTTCACCGACAATGTAACGGGGTGAGCTTGTTGCATGTAATCAACCTTTAATGCTTGTTAATTAAATTAAATCCATAAAGGTTGATATTATACGTGAATATTACCATAAGGGGTATTATTCCGAATTACTCACCGATTAGCTGGTATGGACCATCATATCAGCCAGCTCTAGCGGTTCAATCAACGATGGACGCGCGCAATGATTGGTAAGCAAAACTTTAGCATACACATTTGTCGATAAACATAATTAATTAAGGAATAAAACAAACACGTAATCAGGGATGTATATTTAACAAAGTTTTACATTCTACTCCTGTAAAGCGTCGATCATGAGCTGGCCTTTCTCTGCACGTATGGTGTACATGAAGTGAAGTGCGGCACTACCTGCACTGTTGTCAGCGTCGGTGAACTAGTACTGAAGCAGTACTAGCGACCAGTGCCCTTTTACAAACAAAAGTTTTCACATACGGAGCTTGTATGAGAACAGAGTAATCCTAAGTTTCGAGTTCTTAAGACCACAGCAGGCATCTGCCACTAGGCGACTCACTCACGTCGACTAGAATAACTAAAGATTGACATCTCCAAATACAAAGCATTGAAGAAGATTCTCTACTGAAATGGTTTGTTGAGCTAAATGACGCCATAAGGGCTCGTCGCCTCGTCGATGGACAAATGCGAAAATCGTTCGCTTTGTCGAACTTGGCAGGGCGTGCAAAGACTTAAGACTTGGGCCTATATCTACACGACTTATCTTTCTTTTACTTGCTAGATGTCTTCATGTCACTGCTTAGTAAACATTCAAACAACCATGATCTGAGCTTAGGTCTCTCTCTGAACTCTTAAGGTGTAAACGGGGCGAACGTGACGATTACTCGTACATTTAATAATTACGCCATCTTACGAGTTGCAGCACGTTCAGTCCACCGACTGAAAAACGTGGATGAAGTTGTTCATGCAAAGTCTCACCGACGATCCAGTCAGGACCTATCTCTTCCTGTTGGATAATGATACCCTGGAAGAGGCAATCCGAGTTACAGAACAAGAAGAATGTAGCGTGAAATAAGCTCGCGTGAGTTCAAACTATCGTCCCCCGAGGCGCCAAAAAAACGGAGGCCCAGAACCGATGTACCTCTATTACACTATGAGTGGAAGATCTCGAGTTACCATTTGTATGAAATTGCAGAAATGCAAAAGTGTCAAAAACCAGGGCATTATGCATACTAGTGCAGTGCCTCGAACGCGGTACCACGTGCCGCAAGAAGCTGTGATCGTCAAACGGCCAAGAAGGGTCCGAGGCGTGGGTCCGAAGCTGTCGGGAAAACGCAACACCGTACCGGACAGCAAAACAAGACCAGGGATGGTAGGTGCGAATCATCCTAGTCATCCAGCAACGTCAACTGAATTTGCAGGCCTCTTGGCGAGAATTGATCTAAACACGCAATCGTTGTGTGTTGGTGCATCTGGTAATGAGTTCACCTCATTATCTTGAAGCTAGAATTGACAAAGGACCTGTCGCTACGAGCCCTAGACGAATGTGGGCGTCAAAAGTTTTGTACAACGCCAATCACTAGATGATAGCAAGCTCAAGTATGTTGAGCGAGAGATACTTTAATTGAGGGTGACGATGTAAGCCTCTTATACAGGCGCATCCGTAACAGTGATGACACGTGTAGTCGGAGTTTCTTCGTGCACTGAAATAAGTCCAATACGATGATGAATTTGTCATCTTAGAATTAAATAACGAATTTAATGCCACCCTTAGCTCACTGCGGCTTAAAAGGTACGAGCCACAAGTCAGCTGGCATCAACGAAGTGTCGATATGCCAGCCGCTTGTTCACCAGACGCCCATCCAATGGACCTCTTGGACCGTCCACCACCACGAGGATGTATTACGAGTGATTGAGATGTCCTCACATGTGAGCTGGCCGTTAGTACGACTGCACAAGATCACAATATGACCAACCATCACATTGCGGAGCAAGTCCCCGGTGACTGCATAACAATGCAGGAAGCTCCAAAGGCACACCCCTCAAATAAGTCGAGCGGACCGTGGCATAGTTGCATAATTGATAGACAACAACCAAATTATGAACAACCGATTGCCAATAGTAGTCAATACGTACATGGAATAGAGATGAGGAAACAAGTCCCTATCAAACAGTGGGAGTACGTTTTTATGGGATGACAACGACAATTAATTTCCTATTTAATGACGGATAAAGCATAGGTAGCCATGTTATGAACATAATTTGCCATCCACAATTGGCTTCGGAGATCACTCAGTTACTATCAATGAACTAAAGAGGCTCTTGCGTGATTTGCGTAGTAGCAAAGTTAATCAGATCTGCGTACTCGTCACGAAAAAGAGTGCGTCAGTAATATCCATATCGGTAATGGTTTTTGCCGAAGATGAATGAATTCTCAGTAGCTCATCAATAGACGAGAGTGTCCTTTACGGGTAGACTCAAATTGAGTGATATACATCCCAATTGTGGTAATTGCTCTAATGAAATTATATTTACGATGGTTGGTGAAATTCAGGGATGTATTGTCAGAAAAAGTCCCGTGCGAGTTTCTTCAGGACAAAGGTACGCGTCACGAAATTGAGCTCGAACCCAGGTTAGGAGTACTGTGTCATGAAGAAATGGCCACTGACTTGTGAACAAGTACTAGCGATCTAAATATTCTTTGCATATCGCATAGCAGCCGGCCATGTAAAGAATTCCACCTCTTCACATAGATCTTTGACCTTCTGTGCGCAAAAATTTAAAGAGGGTGGCGGATAGTACAGTACCGGCTTAACCATCAATACTCAGGAACGATGTCATCATAGATAGTATATCAACGAGTAACATCTTTTCATCCATAGATCTAATGGATCAATTTTATCAGATCCTTATGAGCAAAAGAATCATTACATATAATGCAGTGAGCACCCCAAGCGTTGTGCTTTAGAAATGTTGTGTAATGAAACAAGGACTAAGTAATCCTCTGCTACATTTAACAATGTGTGATGAAAATACTAAGACCCGTAAGAGAGTTCGCACACAGTTACTTCGATAATGCTTTTGTTCGTATACGGGAAACGGATGGACAGACGAATGTGGAAGTGTATCGCCTCCACGTCCGAAAGTTATCGCACTATTACGCAAGCATAAGTTGTATACCAACCTGCAAGAAATGTAAATCCGCTACTAACGAATTGCCACTTCTTTGTGCATCGTGATCTGGCATGAGGTCCGTCCCGATTTTGAATAGATCAACTTGATCACCTACTGATCGGTGCCTAAAAATGCTTAGGAAATTCGAACGTTCTTTGGCCCAGTGTCGTATTTTTGCATAAGTGTTCACACAATTTTTTGTGAAAAAAAAACAAATTACGCCGAGATAACTGTTTAACTCTCTCGCATTTGACAAAAAACGAGAAGTAGTCACGGTTGGCTAATTGTCAGCGTTCGTTTGAAGGTATCAAGCAAAGCTTAGTACGATCGCCAGTTTTGGCAATTGCAGATCAAGATAGGTCGTTTCACATATTCTGTGATGCCAACAACTTTGCAATTGGCTGTGCATGAATGCAGTAAGATGCAGATGATGTGGAGCGTATCGATGTTACCAATCACGTCAGCTTCAACCAGATGAACACAGCCATTCCGTCCATGACAAGGAATGCCTTGCTATAAAGTACATGCTAGCTAAGTTCAGAGTCCATCCGATAGGTGGTAGACCCTTTATCATTTGTACG